CTAGACCAAGGTATTGACATATCCAGTCCATCCTCTGTTTGGATATCAGCCGGCAAGCCAATGCCTTAAATCAAGAAAAGGAAATCTAATATAATGTCAAGTTTTTGACATTTGTTTGTTTTTTAAATACATTATAATTATACCCTCAGTTCATTTCTGACATGATAAATAAATAAATAAATAAATAGTTAACAACAATGTGTCAGCCTCACTTGCTGTTAAGGAAGAACCTCCCATTGAAAACAGCATGAGTGATAGAGCAAAAAACCAATTTGCTATATAAGTTGGAGCAAGGAAATGAAAACATTCAGAAATCAATGTTATGGGAGGTAAAAGATGCTGGCAAGCCCACCACAGATTAGAATGTAGTCCTACAGCAGTACAGGTGGTCCCTAAGATAGGTTCTGTAGGTTTGTTCTTGCACTGAATTTGTTTGTAAGTCAGAATAGGTACATTTTTCAGTGTAATTCCAGGTTACAGCTTACAGTGGAGACACCTTTTTCCCATGATAACTCTTCCAGGACTGCATTACCCTACCTAGAGGTGGATTTCTCTCCCTTCCTGTTGTCTCACCCCTGTTCTTAACTATGAATCATTTGTAAGTACGGTGTTTCTAAGTCATGGACTGCCTATATTGCTCATACCAAGTGCTAGATGGGCGGTCTGTCCAGGCAGCATAGGAATAGTCTGCTTTTCTGTATGTCAACTGCTGGGCATAACCTGAAAATAGAGAAGGAGCAGGAAGAGAAAGACGTAAGTAGAATGTATCGGGACAAACTAAGTCATCAGTTGCACCTCCAACAGAAAAAGAGCCCTTGTGATTCCCCTCTTTTTACGCTGCACTCGCCTGTGCTACTTTTCTTTTAGTCATTCACTTTTCTCTCTGTCTCCAAAGCTGAAATTATCACCAGCCACCCAGAAGACTTAATTAAGAAATGGTTAGAGCAGACATGGGCAAACTTTTTGTGGTGGGGGCCACATTGTGGGCTGGGGTGGGGCAGGCGGGCTAGGCCAGGCTGGGAGGGAGGGGACATGGAGGAGGCTGAGCGGGAAGCTGGTGCAAGAGGGAAGCCAAGGAGGCATTTGGAATGGTGGGGCATTTGGAGCAAGGGGTGCGGGGGTAGTGGTTGGTGCAGGAGGAGGGTTTCACATGTGGATGCTCCAGCTGTCCTCTCAGCCTGGGGACACAGTGGCCGGCCACATCCACAGGTTGAGAGAAGGAGGCGCACGACTGTCAGCAGCCACGTGTCTATGCCCCAGTCATCCCCCCAGCCTGGGGATGCAGTAGGCTGCTGTGTCCTCATGCTGAGAAGGGCCAAGGCAGACAAGGTCTAGAGGATAGAACCCAAGACTCACAGGTCTGGGTTTGCCTATGCCTGGGCTAGAGTGTGGAGAAAGCATCTCTGATGTTTCTTTACGCTACAGCAGTGGTTCTCAACCTGGTGTCCCCAGATGTTTTTGGCCTACAACTCCCACAAATCCCAGCCAGTTTACCAGCTGTGAGGATTTCTGGGAGTTGAAGGCCAAAAACATCTGGGGACCCAAGGTTGAGAACCACTGTGCTACAGCTTCTGGGCTGGGCCTCCAAATTGGGTAGCTGTAACTGTCCCCCACGCCTTCTCTCTTGCACGCTCACTTGTTTCCCTGCCTTTCCTTTAAAAATCTATATAAATAAAAATGTAATGTTCATTTGTGGGATTAACAGAACTCAAAAACAACTGGACATATTGACACCAAATTTGGATGCAAGACACCTAACAACGCAATGTATGTCCTTCACTCAAAAAAAATGATTTTGTCATTTGGGAGTTGTAGTTGCTGGGATTTATAGTTCACCTACAATCAAAGAGCATTCTGAACCCCACCAGTGACGGAATTGAACCAAACCCGGCACACAGTTCTCCCGTGACCAACAGAAAATACTGGAAGGGTTTGGTGGGCAATGTCCTTTGCTTTTGGAGTTGTAGTTCACCTACATCCAGAGATCACAGTGGACTCAAACAATGATGGATCTGGATCAAACTCTACACAAATACTCAATATGCCCAAATGTGAACACTGGTGGAGTTTGGGGAAAATAGAATCTTGACATTTGGGAGTTGTAGTTGCTGGGATTTATAGTTCACCTACAATCACAGAGCATTCTGAACCCCACGAATGATAGAATTGGGCCAAACCTCCCACACAGAACCCCCATGTGGGCCACAGCAATGCGTGGCAGGGGACGGCTAGTATTTTATATAAAAGCCCAGAGTCACTGCTTTTTAAAAAAATGGCAGATCTTGCCCTACTGTGCAAGGAAATAACTTCTGTCCCAACATGGAAATGCAAAAACATCTTTTTGTTCCTACAGAGATGTGAAATGTTGACATATGAAGGAAAAAATTATGTAAAGGTGGGAAACATGAACAACTTTACTCTGTGATATTATTACAAAGGGAAAGTTTTTCTCTCACTTTCAGCAGAAGTGTACTGCCTGTTGATTCAACAAAGGAGAACTAATCAATAGATAAGTTCTGATTTTTCAATGTTTTTTTTTAAAAAAAATTGAAAGTCAGTTTACAATATTTTTGAGAATTCTGTTCTTCAAAAATAAAGAGATGATTCTCTTCTCTTATTAATATTTTCAAAATAGTTTTCCATATTTTTCCCTTTGAGTAATGTGACAATTGCGGAAACAGCCAGCATTTAATGCCATCAGTGAGTGAAGTGTGGCTGAGCACCAAAAGCAGCCTCAAAACAAGTTTTTGACACCCGCAGCTCATGAACTCCCTGAATTTCCCTCAGAACATTTTGTCTTTTAAAAACTGTTTTTAATGCTTGGTGATCCACTTCAGTTGTGATTTTCTGTATATATATCGTTCTCGGCACCCTTCACAGCTTTCAAGTTTCAATCCAGAATTTCAAAGAACAACAATATTTATTATTTATTTCCGGTACTTTTACCCTGCCCTTCTCTACCCCCGAAGGGGGACTCAGGGCGGCTTACACAGCGAGGCACCGTTTGATGCCTTTACAGTTACAATTACACAAAATGACAATTATAATTAAAACAATTAAAACAATTATCATGGTTAAAACAAACGAAGTAATCAACAATCAATAAACACAACATATAGAAACTATTCACGTGCTCCGCATTTGTCATAAATAATAAATAAGCAAAAAATAAGCAAAAAACAAAACAATAAATAAGCAAAAAACAAAAACAACTTTCCAAACCTTTCTAATTTGGATTTTTTTAAAAGAAATCATTTCCAAGCCAGACATGTTCTTTGGATGGTCCTGGGTGTGAAAATTGATGTTCAGATCACCTGATTTAAGCAGCAGACACATGCACACCACTGCAAAGGAACCAGTAATCTTACCTGGACAGCCTCCCCGACAATACCTGGAATGATCTGAAATTCAGCCAGACTCTGCATGAATCAATCTAGAAAACCATTGCAGTAGCTGGTGGAAGAACAAGTCTAGAGGAGTTTGCTTGCTTTACCTTGAAGGATCTGCTTGGTGGCTTCACTCCTACGATTCACACCCACTTTCTTCCATTGATTGGTGGCATCAAGGTAGTGGGTGGCAATAACTGATGGTGTCATGGTGATCATGTTCTGCTCCCCACAGCCGGAAGGTGTTATGATGAGATGTTTCAGGTTACTTCCATCAATGGATTCTTCCACAATATGAGCCACAGGGTCTCCTATCCACACACACAAAACTCATGTTAATCCCAGAGGATAGAAAACCCCTTGGGAACTCTGTGGATTGCTTTCACGACTGCCCCTCCTCTCCCTGGAACAAAATCACTCACAGGACATCAAAAGCTGGCATAATTTCAGTTTTCAGACTTAATGTAATGCCTCTTGTTTATACATATAAAGCCACTGTCCTCACGAGAATCGGTGAGAACTTGGGAGTTCTTATGGTCACCAGGATGATGAAACTGTTCTGGGCTTCAAATGGAACTTTAAAGGGATATCGAAGGTGCTGAGTCCAGCTTAACACCTTGGAACTTCTCTGGAAACCTGTTAGGAATAATTTTGCCCAATCTTATGCTTACTGCGATCACCAGGTTAAGCCTTGCTATATGGAAAAATTACACTGAGTATATTCCTGCTGCTGTTGGGTTCTAGCAGAGGATGGGACAGAAAGTGTTTTTACTCTGTTTTCTTATACAGTCCTAGAGTTCTGTATTAAATCAAGCTGTTACCTTGGACACTAATTTTGGTCTCAGTTTCTGTTCCAGGAACAATATCATATAAATGACGAGCTTCCACCAATTCTTCCTGGAGTCCATCTGGGCAGGGGAAAAAGACAACAAAAGGGAGGAAAATGACAAAGAATATATACTGTATTTTCCAGCATATAAGGTGACTGGGGGTATAAGACGACCCCCAACTTTTAAAGATAAAATAGGGATACATTCACATTGAAGACTACCCCTCTTCCAACACTATGCCCCTGCGGCCCCTGCCACTCTCCTTTCAAGGACCTCCTCCGCACTTGCCACTCACATCCCCCGAAGACCACCGGGCTTGCCTAGGCCCAAGGAAGTGCCTCTGGATGACATCCAGCGTGCCTTGGATGTGCTCCCTGAGGCATTCTGGGAGTCGTAGGAGTCAGGGAACTACTGCTCCCAGAATGCTTCAGTGAGCACATCCAAGGCCCACCACCACCTGGGGTTGCTGGGAATCGTTGTCCAGAGGCACTTCCTTGGGCCTAGGCAAGCCCAGTGGCCTTCGGAGGAGGTGAGCGGCGAAGGCAGAGGAGGTCCTTGAAAGGAGAGTGGGGAGCAGCGGCGGGGGCCTCGGGGAATGTCCAGTGGGCCGTGACTCGAAGCCAGTCTCCGTGGCAATGCGGCCTGCCACTCCTCCTCCCCATGCCTTCCCTCCCTCTGCCCTCCTCATCTTCCTCCCTCCTTCCTCAGGCTGCGCCACTAAGGAAGATTTTATTCTTTTCTTTTAATTATTATTTATTTGCTTTATTTCTATACCGCATTTTTCAGCCCTTAACAGGCGACTCAATGCGGTTTAATTATTATTATTTAAATTTATACCCGGCGTACTAGATGACCCCCAACTTTTCATAAGATTTTCCAGGCTTAAAAAGTCGTCTAGTATGCCGGAAAATATGATATGTATATGTATATGTGCATATGTATGTGTATGTGTATATATGTGAGTGTGAGTGTGAGTGTGTATCTTTCACATTCAAGCCATTTAGAGCTTCTAGCACTGCTTTTCTACAATCAGCTGCAAGTAGAATTTCAAAGATATGTCACACAGATCTGTGTTCCCAAACAACTAATGTTCACACCTCACATTCAAAGTACATAAAATAGCCTGAATCATGGTGGTTGTAACAACCAGACCCATCGAAGCAATACATAAATTCAATTGATTAAATAGTAGGCTTGGGCGGTTTCGTTCGTTAATTTCGTAATTCGTTATTAATTCGTATTTAAATTAGCTTACGATCCAATAATGAGCCATGCAGGAATAGTGTGAGGAGTAAATTAGATTCGAAACAATTTTTTCAATTTATTTTGTAATTATTTTGTAATTATTTTGTAATTATTTTGTAATTATTTCATAATTATTTTCGCATGTCTGGTGCAAGTTTTATAGTTGTTGTTTGTTTTATCACACCAACAGTCAACAACAGAGGGAGAAGGAAACTTCAGAAGTTCCCCCTGTCCCATTTGGAAGCATATTGCGCAATCGCATCCGCCATTAACGAATCGATTCGTAATTACACGAAATTTCGTATATTTTGAAATTTTTAAAAGGAAAATTTCGGAATTATTAAAAAAAATGAAACGCAAGGGCCCCCTAAAAACAAAACGAGTTTAGAACCAATTTTTTCTGTGGTTACCCAAGCCTATTAAATAGGTCAGTTCTGACTTAGATTTTGAATAATATTTGGGTCTTTATATGAATATATTTACCCAGATGATTAATCTAAAATCTTACATGGAATAGCCAAAGTGGTGCAATGTTTTGAGAACTGAACTCTGATAATGGAAACCAGGGTCTGAATTTCTGTTCAGCCAGGAAAACCTTCTAATTGGTGAGACCTATGGTTGTCATGGGCCGGAAATTTATTTGAAGACACTCAGCAACCACTATATTCTTTCATGTGCAATATTCTCTCTGTGGTGCACATGTGTAAACAGGCCCCTTAACAAATAAACTAGTACCTTTTTATCGAGCAAAGAATATTATGTTACCAAACAGAGCTTGGGGCAGCACACTACCTCTTGCTTCTACAGCATCCCAGGCAACCGGCAAATGGTAGAAATGTGAAATGTTTTGAATCTCAACTAAATGTTTTGTTTTGTTTTAAACCAACATTCAAATATGTACTGCTGGCAGTCCAATTCAATGTCATTCCAAATGGTGGCCCATAGACTGGTGCTATTTTGTGAGCTATTGGTTGTCACTTTGTAAAACGTTTTCAGAAAAACTAGAAACAGTTGTAATCAATGGGCAAAACCATGGATACAATATCCTAGCACACTGGGGACAATGTGTCCTGGCAATCCCTCACACCATAACTTGAGAAACACTGCATTAGTTTAAAAAAGACAAGTCATAGTTAAAATAAGGCTGTGCTGTCTGATGTCATGGTCAGCTCCAATAGTGAGGACGAATAGTTGCTGGAAACACCAGAAGAGGAAATGGAGATCAGCAACTCCCAACAGTCTCCCCAGCCAAGCTCAGGAATGCTGAGGATGAGACCTCAGCAGTAGCAATTACTTCCCAGCAGTCTGACCAAACTGAAGCAAATACATTGGATCACGCTAGCGAGGGTCTCAGCACCCCCCCCCCCAACTACCATCACCTTTGGATCACAGGAGAGAATGTGCAAAGTTTTGCAGGTCTACAAGATTAGAGAAACAAACATTAAACAAGTAACTGCTGAGATCATAAGATAAAGAGGTTCTGAGTGTGAAATCTTGTTGTGGCAGTTCATGTCATTGTGTCTTGGCTGTACCTTGATTCTTCTACTCTTCAAACACTCAGCATTTTGGAGCATGCATTGTGACCTTCACTATTATTTGCTCCTGACTCTGTACTTCTCCAGTTTGACTTTGCTAACTGGACTTTGGGCTTTGGCATTAGCTCTCTTATTGGTTTGTTGTTTAGAGTTCATGCTTCTGAACTGTTGACTTTGGCTCGATGTTGACTTTGTTTGGAACATCTGGAAGAATTACTCCTTCTGTCTACATTTTTTATAAATATTTGTAATCTAATTGTGTATAAGCACAGGTAGCTTCCAGTTTTTTTCTGAGCCAGTAAACCTGTTTCATGTTTTTGTTTGAGCTTCAAAAGAATAATCTAGGGTGACGAAGCTCATTTGCAAACTATGTTCAGCCTTTTAACATTTGAACTAAGAGCTGGAGTGGATTTACTATCCCACTGATATTGGAATCTCTAACTAGCACCTTGTGGAAGTTGATAGTTTTTGTTTGTTTGTTCGTTTGTTTCCTTTGCCCACCAAAGTTGACTATAAAACTCTGAAAAATGAACACAATGGTAAGGAATTATTTAACAATCCAGTTTCTAAGGCAATTAGCAAGGATTTATTTAAAAATCACGGGGAAAGTGAAGAGGAAGCAAGAGGAACAAAACTCTAGTTAACAGTTTGTTTATTTGGGACCTGCCTACCTGCGAGACTGCATTTCTGTGTACGAACCCACACAATCTCTTCGATCATCTGGAGAGGCCCTACTTGCGCTCCCACCTGCATCGCATGTGCAATTGGTGGGGATGAGAGAGAGGGCTTTCTCGGTGGTGGCCCCTCGACTCTGGAACTCACTTCCTAAGGACATCAGGCATGCCCCAACTTTGGCAGTCTTTAGGAGGAGCTTGAAAATGTGGTTGTTCCAGTGTGCCTTCCCAGAATAATGAACCCTCTAAAAGCACTTTATACTGATTTCGGTCTGCTTGTATGTTTCCACCAACGCCCCACCTCCTCTATCTTGTTCATGCCCAGCATTATTTTTTAACTTTAATTACATTTGGCCCAGTCATAGATTTTAAATGTGTTTTGTGCTATTGTTCAATGTTTATGCTATTTGTGTATGAGATCTATTTTAATTGCTTTGTATTAGTATTTGTATTTTGCTTTGTATTGTGGTTGTTATTGCTTGTATTGATGTATTGTGAACTCGGCCTCATGTAAGCCACACCGAGTCCCTTGGGAGATGGTAGCAGGGTATAAATAAAGTTTTTTATTATTTTATTATTTATTTATTTACCTTATTTATACCCCACCTTTTTCGACTCCAGGGGTGAGGGGTCTCAAGGTGGCTGAGTGATGAGATCTGAGCCAATGTCTAACACTGCTAGTCCTTGTTGCATTTTACAAATTGCTTTTAGGTGCTCAGGCAACACCAAGAGGCACCCATCATCAATGCAAGAGCGTTTGCTTCATTGCAAGCCTTAATACTGCCTATTTTTTCCTGTTGCAGCAAAACAGAAAACCATGCAGAACAAACATAAAATAGGACACTGGACATCTTTGTCCAGAGTGTCAGGTAAAGGTCTCTTCCCAGTTTTTACTGCCACATTATTTTAACTGGAACAGACAGGCACTCAATCTACGATTGCCTTACTTAAGGGAGAAAAAATTTGAAAATAATCATTTAAGGAAGAAAAAATAACTGACAATATGAAAACAGGAAGAAAAGATAAGAAAAAGAAGAGAAAGGAAAAGGAAAGAACCTCATAGAAGATACAGGGAGGTCAAGAACACTACACTTTTATATACTCTGAACCTTTTACTTTCCCCTCTCCTCTATTTTCCTCTTACCCTTTCTACTCTAAACCTACATCCTCGCCTACCATCCCTTAAACCCCTAACTATCTCCTCCCTATCTCTACCCCCACCTATCTCTATTCCAATTCTATACTATTCATCTAAACCCACTGTTTTCTTTTTATTTATTATAACTATATATTTTATCTTTTTTAAAAACCAAATAAAAGTATTTTTTTTAAATCTACAATCGCTTTTCTTACATTTCCATGCCTTCTAGCCTGCCTGCAGTCACCTTCCTGAATGAAAAGGATTTCAGTATTTTATCCAGACACACTCAGATCTGCTTTGTTGGGAAACATTTTAAAAGATTGTGAACAGTTTAAGCAATAAAGAGTTATTTGGAGGAATCAAGAAAAAGTTTTTAAAGGACACACTGACAAAGAATAGCTTTCACTTACTTTTTCCTTTTATAGAGGGTTCCAACTCAATGAAACGCACAAGTGATCTCTGCATCCCTTCAGACTGGCAAAGAAAAAAGTCCAAAGATCACTATTAAAATCTCATCAGAAATAAAATTAGTCAATCATGGCATTAAAGGAAAAACTAAAAATAGCAACATGGAAACATTAACATCTTTCTAGCTACTGGCAAGACATAGCTTTGTTCTCCATGGACATGTCTAACTATCTGGCTTTAAAAACAATTGAGGAAAGACTTTTTAAAAGCCTTGATTATTGTCTAGCAATGTACTTAGAATCATAGAGTTGGACAAGACCATAAGGGCCATCCAGTACAACCCAATGACATGCAGGAAAATACAATCACAGCACTTGTAACAGATGGCCATCCAGCCTCTGCTTTAAAACCTCCAGGGAAGGAGACTCTGCCACACTTCCAGGCAGCATATACCACTGTTTAACAGCTCTTAACATCAGGAAGTTCTTCCCAATGATTAAGGTGAATCTCTTTTCCTACAGTTTGAATCAATTACTCCATGCACTACTCTCTAGAGCAGTAGAGCACAAACCCAAGGTTACATCAACATCTGTTATAGAACTCCAGTATGCTGCTGACAATGTTGTCTGTGCGCATTCAGAAGAAGATCTACAAGCCACTCTAAACACCTTCGCAGAAGCATACGAGAAGCTCGGCCTGTCATTGAACATCAAGAAAACCAAAGTGCTGTTCCAGCAGTCAACAGTCAACCTCTCTCCAATGCCAGAGATATAGCTTAATGGGGTAACATTAGAAAATGTTGACCATTTCCGCTACCTTGGCAGCCACCTCTCCACCAAAGTCAACATCGACACCGAAATACAACACTGCCTGAGCTCTGCGAGTGCAGCATTTTTCTGAATGAAGCAGAGAGTGGTTGAGGACCGGGACATCTGTAGGGATACCAAGGTGAATGTTGATAAAGCTATTGTCCTCCCAACCCTGCTATATGCCTGCAAAACGTGAACTGTCTACAGACGTCACATGCAACTCCTGGAACAATTCCATCAGCACTGCCTTCGGAAAATCCTGCAAATCTCTTCGGAAGACAGGCGGACAAACATCAATGTGCTGGAAGAAGCAAAGACCACCAGCATTGAAGCGATGGTCCTCCGCCATCAACTCCGCTGGACCGGCCATGTTGTCCGGATGCCCGACCATCGTCTCCCAAAACAGTTGCTCTACTCTGAACTCAAGAACAGAAAACGGAATGTTGGTGGACAGGAAAAGAGATTTAAAGATGGGCTCAAAGCCAACGTTAAAAACTCTGGCATAGACACTGAGAACTGCCCTTGGGCGCTCCAGCTGGAGGTCAGCTGCGACCAGCAGTGCTGCAGAATTTGAAGAGGCATGAATGGAGGGCGAAAGAGAAAAACGTGCCAAGAGGAAGGCGCATCAAGCCAACCCCGACCGAGGTCGCCTTCCACTTGGAAACAAATGCCCTCACAGTGGGAGAAGATGCTGGTCAAGAATAGGGCTCCACAGTCACTTACAGATCCACAAGAATACTGATCCTGGAAGACTATCCTACTCGGCCAACGAGGGATTGCCTAAGTAAGTAAGTAAGAGCGCAAACTTGCCCTCTCCTCAATGTGACATCCTTTCAAATATTTAACCATGGTTATTAAACCATTTTAGCAAATCATGAAGAGTAGGTCCATAACACAAAATAATTTAAATTCTATGACTCATTCTATTTTTTATAAAGACTTAATTAAATCAAATTTCTATTTTAGCTACAAAATTTCAAGTCTTGAGGGGAAAAAACCTGAAAATACACTTTGACAAAAATCAGGCTCTAACAATAAACTTCGATGGACACTCAAGAGTGCAAGTCCAGTCAGTTTTTCTTGCCCCATTGTACCTCTTATGTATGTTTTCAAACATTTCAGAAATGAAAATGGCCTTTCATTTGTAGCTGTTAACATTGGCAACATTGCAGAAATCTGAAGAATTTTATTAAAACTTAAAAAAAACCTGTCTATCACAAACAAGACACACTTCCAGTGCATCTGATTTTTTTTTTCTACAGGTGTAATCTTTTCCCACAGAGGTACACACTGAGTTTCTGCCTATGTTAATCCTTCATATTTAGGCTGCCTGGCTATACTGGCTGAGAGAGACAGAGTGGATGGGCAGTGACATGATCACTCTGACCAAAAGGTCATGAGTTCGAAGCCAGTCCGGGTTGGAGTGGGTTTCCAACCAATTGTGTGTAGCCTGTTGTCGGCTTTTGCAACCTGAAAGACAGTTGCATTTGTCAAGTAGGAAAATAAGGTACCGCCTTAAAGTGTGGGGAGGCTAAATTAACTAATTTATGAGGCCATAAAGAAGACTCCAGCAAAGCATTCCAGTGGGGAAGCATGTGGGGAATGCGGAAGTGCTTCATCAGCGTTGCAGATGGACGATGAAAGCGACAGCTCCCTGGCGGCCAGAAATGTTAAATAGCCTCTGTGTATGTCTGTATATGTTTGCATGTCAAAAATTGGCATTGAATGTTTGCCATATATGTGTACACTGTAATCCGCCCTGAGTCCCCTGCGGGGTGAGAAGGGTGGAATATAAAAGCTGCAAATAAATAAATAAATAAATAAATGACAAGGCCATTGTTGGAGTTCAGCCTGTGATTTTGTTTCAGGATCAGGGTGCTTTGGATGTGGGGAATGATGTTAATGAGGTTCAAGAGGAGTTTCAAGATGGCAATGGTTTGCTCAATGATATTGATGCAGAGAATGACCAGGAGATCCCTGTAGTTTCCCATGAGAATGTCCCTGCGGGATGTGGGGATGACGGTGTGCTTTCTGAATTGCTACCAGAGAGTTCTCATGAGACAGAACATGAAAATAGCTCAGCACCTGGCCCAGCTGCAAAAGTTAACGAGCAAGTAGATAACGAGCCCAGAGATAGACAAGATGAGATTAGTCAAAACAGGAGAGCCGAGCAATGGCTTTGGCGCTCTGCCAGGCTTTGACAGAAAACAATAACAAAGCCTCAATTAAACAGAAACCAATTTCTGACTGCTAGTGACCTAGCTACCGAGGGGATAAAAATCTCAATTTTGGAACGTTTAGTCAGATGAAGCATCGTTAAGTATCACACCAAGTTCTTGTCCTTGTTCATGGAAGCTTTGCTTTAAAGATTCATGCTAAGATATTTCTTGTTCATGGTTTTGATTCCTGGACTTCATGATTGCTTACCCAAGCCTTGGATTAATGTATTCCTGATTTCTCTGATTGTATTAGGGTGGTGTGGACTTTGCTTTTATTTATTTATTTATATAAAACTTTTATATCCCAATCTTCTCACCTCCGTAGAGGGACTCAGACCGGCTTACAGCAAGGATTCAATGCTACTAATACAAGTTAAAACATCATACAATAATACAAGATTAAAATACATATATACCAAATTGCCAAGGTAAAATCACGTTCAACTCAGTCCGCATATGTGGTCACTCACTTTGGTCTGTAATCAGTCTCAGCCATTATTCTGGGAATGCTTTGTGCCATAACCAGGATTTCACTATCCTCCTGAAGGACAAGAGCAAGGGGGCAGATCTAATCTCGCTCGGGAGAGATTTCCATAGCCGAGGAGCCACCACAGAGAAGGCCCTGTCTCTCATCCCCACCAAACGCGCTTGCGAAGGTGGTGGGACCGAGAGCAGGGCCTCTCCGGAAGATCTTAATGTCCTTGATGGTTCATAGGTGAGAATACATTCGGACAGGTAAACTGAGCCGGAACCGTATAGGGATTTATAGATTAAAACCAGCACTTTTAATTGTGCTCGGAAGCTAATTGGCAGCCAGTGGAGCTGGTGCAGCAAGGGAGTTGTGCGCTCCCTGTACCCAGCTCCCGTCAGTAGCCTGGCTGCCGAGCACTGGACTAATTGCAGCTTCCGGGCAGTCTTCAGAGGCAACCCCATGTAGAGAGCACTGCAGTAATCTATATGGGATGTAACCAGAGCATGGACCACCGTGGCCAAGCTCTGGTTACATCCCGTATAGATCACTGCAACACTCTGGACTTTGCTGAACTCTACCTTGGACTAATTTGCTCCTGCTTATCTTCTTACCTAACTGTATTTACCCATTTCTTTAAAGTGCTTTTTGCTTTACTGGTTTTTTTTACTTATCTTCAATAAAAGGATTGTTTTTTCCTATTCAATGTGTGGTGTTTAAAGTCAGAGGATTAATCCTGTCCTGGAGTGCAACAGCCATCCTGGCTGCAGCCTCTCTTTCTGTTGATTTCATGGGAGGGCCTGGTGTAATGCCTACCACAACCCGGAGCTTCTTCCTCACACCATCGCCCACCACCAAATTCCAGACAGCAGCTTTGACCTCGATGTCATGGGATCCAAGCTCAAGCGGGACCATCACGAACGGCACTGATGTGGAGGACTGGCCCCTGACAAAGACATCATGCCTGTAACGCTGCTTAGCAGTGGAAGCGCTGCAGAAGGCCGGGTTGTGAATCAGCTCCACCCGCACCTGGGGATAAAAGACAAAAAGAAGGGCCTTTAAAAGCAATGTAAACAACAAATGACCAAGGGAGAAGGCATTTTCTTTCCTTGGATCAACACTACAAGTCTTTGCATTTTCCCTCAAGTAACTACCTAATTTCCATTCTGTTCAAGACATTTATGTCTTGTTCCAAGGTTCTCTTTATATCAGGGCTGAGATTTATTTAAACCAGGGGTCCTCAAACCTTTTAAGCAGAGGGCCAAGGTCAAGAGTCAATTTCATGTAAACAAGTCAAGTACTACAGAGCCAGGTCAGGAGCAAGAAAAGACAATAGTCAAGGGTTACAGTCCAATAGTCAGATGCTAGAAGTTTACTTATCAGAGCTCATAAAACAAGGTCAAGGATCCCAGAGTACAAACTAAAGTCAGAATTCCAGAGTCAAGCCATAGAGTCAGGGATACAATCTGAAGTCCAAGTCCATAAATCAAAACAGGAAGATCAATCCAGAATCCAGAGTCAAGGAGTAGAGATACAACAGGGTCCAGAACAGGATTACAAAAACAAAGTCAGGGTCCAGAATTCTAACCCAGGGGCAGCACTTGGAAAGGAGTGCCATACTCACTAAATCCAGCTCATGCTAGACTAACCTTCTCTCTCTCTTTGATAGAATTACAAGCTTGGCAGAAAAAGGGAATGCTGTGGAGGTGACATATCTTTATTGCAGTAAGGTTTTTGACAAGGTTCCCCATGATATTCTCACAAAGAAGCTAGTAAAATATGGGCTACATAATGCTAGTGTTAGTTGGACTGGGAATTGGTTGACTTGTTGAGCCCAAAGGGCACTGACCAATAGCTCCTTTTGATCCTGGAGAGAAGTGACCAGAGAGGAGTCACTGGGCTCTGTCCTGGGCCCAGTGCTATTCAACATCTTTATCAATGATTTGGAAGATGGAACAGAAGGCATGCTCACCAAATTTGCAGATGGCACCAAGAGTACTTCATCAGTGTCAGTGAAGGGACAGCTCCCCTGGTGGCCAGAATACCCTCACGAAAAAGCTGGAATGTTAAATTGCCTCTCTGTCTGTCTATATATGTTGTGTGTCTATGGCATTGAATGTTTGCCATGTATATGTACATTGTAATCCGCCCTGAGTCCCCTGCAGGGTGAGAAGGGTGGAATATAAATACTGTAAGTAAAATAAATAAAAATAAACTTCCAAAACCTACCCTGATACGTTCCTTTCCATAGTTGTAAAGAATAGCTCGAATCTCCACCTGCTCGTTCCTGACTGCCGAGAAAGGCAGTCTTAGGTCAATGAAGAAGTCTTTCATGACAGTTATTTCATAAGGGTCAGCTACACAGATGCCTGTAAGGAAGATTGTTGGAAAAGGAAGTGGTTCGAGAATGAAAATCAGTCGGGCATCAGATTTTTTTTCTTGACCATTTGTAAGACAGACTTGTTGCAGTCTAGCATCACTTCCATAGTAGTTCACTCTTGGCACCAAGATGACTTACCTTTTGTTTCTGAAATGCTCACAGCCAACACCTCCCAGGTTGTGATGGAATCCATCAGGAAAATGGACATGTTCCCAAATGAGGTTCTAAGCATAAGAAAAAAAGGTGCCATATCACATTTGGAAGCCATGGTTACAATATATAGGCTAAGGTAGTAATTTATATGTAGCTGTAGCTGGACATATGCTTTCACGCATTTCTACCCCGCCCTTCTCAACCCCCAACGGGGGACTCAGGGCGGCTTACAAAAGGCACAATTCAATACCAACAATACAGACAATAAGATAAAATATATATCAGCAACAGTTAAAACAATTTAAAACAATCCAGTTATACATCATAACTAATAAAAACCAATCTAATGAACAACGTTCGCCAAGCTCAAAGTCCGTAAGTTCATTCTGCATTGTCATAATCCTGTCCAATTCTAGTCGTCATTGTCCTTTGTCTGTCTGCCAGATTACCCAAAGGCCTGGTCCCATATCCATATTTTTAGTTTCCTTCTAAAAGAGAGGAGGGATGTCGATGTTCTAATTTCCCCGGGAAGCGAACTCCACAGGCAAGGGGTCACCACTGAAAAGACCCTGCTCCTCGTCCCCACCAACCTCACTTGTGATAGAGGTGGGGCCGAGAGCAGGGCCTCCCCAGAGGATCTTAAATTCCGAGGCGGGACGTAGAAGGAGATGCGTTCGGACAGGTACGCTGGGCCGGAGCCGTATAGAGTTTTGTAGGTCAAAACCAGCACTTTGAATTGTGCTCAGAACTGGATCAGCAGCCAGTGGAGCTGACATAGCAGAGGAAGACAAGTTTTCATTATTTTTCTAAGGGGCCTGGGGGTTTCAGGGGAGGGGTGGGTATTCCCCCAGTATACCGGGCTTATTTAGCCCAGTAAACTGTGGGAATGGTGTCTGGACTGTAGTCCAGACATTGGAAGTAGTGGGATTATCCCACGCATTTCAAGAAGGCGCGGAATAAGCACACTATCTAATTAATTCGCTACATTGTGGTAGATACCGCAATAAAGGTCCTGTCTGGACAGGACCTTAGTTTGTCCCACTAGAACAGTGTTTCTCAACCTGGGGGTCGGGACCCCTGTGGGGGTCGCGAGAGGGTGTCAGAGGGGTCGCCAAAGGCCATCAGAAAACATAGTATTTTCTGTTGGTCATGGGAGTTCTGTGTGGGAATGTTGGTCCAATTCTATCATTGGTGAACTTCAGAATGCTATTTCATTGTGGGTGAACTATAAATCCCAGCAACTACAACTACCAATGCTGAGGTCTATTTTCCCCAAACTCCACAAGTGTTCACATCTGGGGATATTGAGTATTTGTGCCAAGTTTAGTCCAGATCCATCATTGTTTTAGTCCACAGTGCTCTCTGGATGTAAGTGAACTACAACTCCAAAAATTCAAGGTCAATGTCCACCAGACCCTTCCAGTATTTCCTCTTGGTCATGGGAGTTCTGTGTGTCAAGTTTGGTTCAATTCCTTCATTGGTGAACTTCAGAATACTCTTTGATTGTAGGTGAACTATAAATCCCAGCAACTACAACTACCAAATGACAAAATCAATTCCCCCAACCCCACCAGTATTCAAATTTGGGCGTACCGGGTATTTGGGCCATATTTGGTCTGGTGAATGAAAATCCATCCTGCATATCAGATATTTACCATATGATTCATAACAGTAGCAAAATTACAGTTATGGAAGGAGCAATGAAAATAATGTAATAGTTGGGGATCACCACAACATGAGGAACTGTATTAAGTGGTCGTGGCATTAGGAAGGTTGAGAACCACTGCCCTAGAACCTAAAAGAAGTACCAGCCCCCACTATTCTCTCTGCCACACTTTTGATGTTATTGAATGCCCGAGGAGCAAAATGGAGACGGGAAGGATGACTGTCCATCTGAGGTGGCCCTTGTGCTTTCCTCCCCTACAGACAGAATGACCCTTGACTTACCCATTGGTCATACTTAATCATATATACTAATGTATAAGTTGTCAATTTGTACATTAGTATTCATAGTAGGTAACTACCCACCAAGATGCCCAGACTTCAAATACCCACCCCCACTGATACCACCCTAATACTGATTCAGGTCACAGGAACACATTTGAAAAAGCCAGTTTCTTGGAACCAGCAGAGTAAAAAAATATTTTAAAAATCATATTAAAGCACTCAGGTGTCTTAAAAGGAGTGCTTTCACTTCAAAATCAAAAGGGTTCCAGCAGTAACAAGATCAAAGTAAGGACAAGTTATTTTGCAGGTGTGAATTCAGTTTCTGCCCCCCAGTGCACATATATCCAAAGAGAGGAGCAGCCTCTGCCTATGTGGATACCCCTCCAGATCATCTTCACTAGGAAGAACAAAAACAACATCTTGATAAAATGTAGACTTGTAATTCTAACATCTTTTCCCCCTCCTGTATGATTTTAACACCAGTGAGCTTTGAAATTTTGCAATATATATATATATTACTTTAATGTTTATTGGTTTGCTTTTTGAGTTTTATTGTTTGTATTTGTTATGCTGATGTTTTATTGAGAGCCTTGCCGCCTTGGCCTTTGTAAGACGCACCGAGTCCTTCGGGAAATGTTAGCGGGGTACAAATAAAGATAATAATAATAATAATAATAATAATAATAATAATAATAATATAATTTTTTGTTGTGTCAGGAGCAACTTGAGAAACTTCAATTTGCTTCTGGTGTGAGAGAATTGGCCGTCTGCAAGGACGTTGCCCAGGGGACGCCCAGATGTTTTGTTGTTTTTACCATCCTTGTGGGAGGCTTCTCTCATGTCCCCGCATGAGGAGCTAGAGCTGTTAAAGGGAGCTCATTTGATTTGAACTTGCGACCTGTCAGTCTTCAGTCCTGCCAGCACAGGGGTTTAACCCACTGCATCACCAGGGGCTCCTGTGCATGATATATGAAAATGAGGGATAAAGCTCAAGCTCCATTTAGGTTCTCTCCTTTATCCTTTTTCTCAGATAGCCTAGGACTGGGAGATTCTGGAGCAACACTCTCACTGGTCTATCATCAATACTGATTTTGTGATCCTGTATGAATTCTATGAGACAATTCAGTTTCCATTCGGACTGAAAGGTAGCTGCTGTAAAGAGAAGAATATAGAAGATGCTTACTCCTGATCATAAGGAGCATCTGGTAACACTAGTGTATTCCACAACCAGCTCTCTGGAAATGCAGTCCTGCTGGTAATACCACCCTCATTCGGATTGAATTCGTCATTGTCACCTAAGGAAACATAGGACAGATGAGATTGTGATTATCTCTATTTGGTGTTTCTCCTTAATAGAGATGATTGACTTTTGGAGAGTGGTTGTTCAAAGAAAGAATGTGGCCTAGGGAAAATAATGGACATCATCTTATAATACTTTGGTAGCTACTGCTTATGATATTTATGCTGTTCAAATGATCTGCCACCCCAAGTCTGATATGGAGACTGCCACAGAATAACTAAGGTTTATAATGCATTCCTTCACTGATGCGTGTGGCCAATGAACAGACTTTTCCACCAAAAAGAAGCCAACACAACGGCTTCATTTTTTTAAGGGCAGATCCATCCTTAGACAATTATTGTTGATAGATCAATAGTTTCTCATTTTAACCTCTTCAGAGTCTACAAATTCTAGACTGGATTACTGCAATGCACTCTATGTGGGGCTGCCCTTGAAAACGGCCCGGAAATTTGAGATGATCCAATGGGCGGCAGTCAGGTTGTTAACTGGGGCTCCTTACAGGGAGAGGTCATCCCTCCTGTTCAAGGAGCTCCACTGGCTGCCATTCATTTACCGGACCCAATTCAAGGTACAGGTTCTTACCTACAAAGCAGTTTGGGACCGGCCTACCTGCATGATCGCATCTCTGTATACGAACCCACACAATCCCTTCGATCATCCGGAGAAGCCCTGCTCTCGATCCCACCAGCATCGCTGGCGTGATTGGTGGGGATGAGAGAGAGAGCCTTTTCGGTGGTGGCCCCTCGACTCTGGAACTCACTCCCTAAAGACATCAGACAGGCTCCAACTTTGGCAATCTTCAGGAGGAACTTGAAGACGTGGCTGTTCCAGTGTGCCTTTCCAGAATAATGACCCCATAGCACTTTGTCCTCCAAAGCACTTTACTTTCCTTTAGGTCTGCTCGTATGCAGACCTTCCACAAACACCAGTATCACCTTCCGTTCATGTCCCTGCATTATTTCCAATTTTAACTCTACATTTGGCCTTCCCACTGTTTTTAATTATGTGTTGTTTTATTGATAATGTTGTGTATCTTATTGTCTATGTGTTTTTAATTGCTTGTATTGTTGTTATTATTGCTTGTATTGTTGTGTTTGGGCTCGGCCTCCTGTAAGCCCACTGAGTCCCTTGGGGAGATGGTAGCGGGGTACAAATAAAGTGTTGTTGTTGTTGTTGTTGTTGTTGTTGTTGTTGTTCTGCCTGTCTAGATAAGTTTATATTATATTCAAATCCTTCATGTTTATCCCAATTAGCAATCCCCGAGTTACAAAAGTCCAATTTACAAACAACAACTCATAGTTAAGAGCTGAGCTGAGACAACAGGAAGTGAAAACAATCTAACAATTGGAAGATAATTTCACTCCAGAAAGAGTTATCATGAGAAACAGGTGACTTCACTGAAGCTTTACCATCAATCTTTGTTCCCACAACAAGCCAATTTTTTCAAAATCCAATTGTCATAGGGACAGAAAGTGAAATGTTACAAGGGTGTTAACGCTTCCCTATACTACTCAAGGTTCTCCCTCTCTCTCTGAATCTCTCTCTCTCTCTCTCTCTCTCTCTCTCCCTGGTGGCACAGTGGGTTAAAGTGCTGAGCTGCTGAGCTTGTGGACCGAAAGGTCACAGGTTCGATTCCGGGGAGTGTATGCTTCCGCTGTCAGCCCCAGCTTCTGCCAACCTAGCAGTTCGAAAACATGCAAATGTGAGTAGATCAATAGGTACTGCTCTGGTGGGAAGGTAATGGCGCTCCATGCAGTCATGCCGGCCACATGACCTTGGAGGTGTCTATGGACGACGCTGGCTCTTCGGCTTAGAAATGGAGATGAGCACCACACTCCAGAGTCAGACATGACTGGACTTAATGTCAGGGGACAATCTTTATCTTTTTAATATATATATATTTAGAGAGAGAGCTTTGGGTTGTATAGAGCAGTATTAACATGTGTGTGCATGTGTGTGTATGGCTGGAGTTACACTTAAACATTTTCTGTTCTGACTTGCATACAAATTCAACTTAAGAACAAACTTACAGAACCTATCTTATTCATAACTTGTTGACAGCCTGTATACATCATGAAAAAAGAAATCTTCACTTTCATTCATTAAAAAGTTCACAATTTAATTCATTCACATTTGACACACCGACATGATACTATCTTGCAGAGTTTTGCAAAAAGAAAATTAAACTCTACTTGCTTCTTGCCAGATGCAGTTCTTCCTCCCGTTGATTCTGATCCCGTATCTCTCTGATAAAGCGACAACATTCAAGGAACACAGTCTTGCACTCATTTTGATCGTCTATGTATTCTGCACGCTTTTCGCAGCTGTATCCCATGGGATTGTCATACATGCCATCTTCACAGCACTTTCCAAGCCCCTTGGCAGAATATTGTGCCACTGGAATATGTAACTTTGATTAAACATCAAATGTTTCCCCAAATCTACGTTTCAATAGGAGAGAAAATGCAGTAGAAATACAAACCAATTCTATCTATCCAGGGCTCACTTATCCTTTTTTTTTTCTAGCTAGCTTCCGAAAATACATGAACATCGTTGTTGTTTTTTTGCTACATTTTATATGCTTCCATTTGTTTCACTTTCAGATGCTGCATCCCTGATATCCATGTTATTAATTTGATAATTAGTAATGTGATCAATGTATTTTTGAAGGCTTTCGTGGCCAGAATCACTGGGTTGTTGTAGGTTTTTCCGGGCTATATGGCCATGTTCTAGAGGCATTTTCTCCTGAAGTTTCGCCTGCATCTATGGCAAGCATCCTCAGAGGTAGCGAGGTCACCTCACTACCTCTGAGGATGGTTGCCATAGATGTAGGCAAAACGTCAGGAGAAAATACCTCTAGAACATGGCCATATAGCCCGAAAAAACCTACAACAACCCAGTAATGTGATCCATCACTGAGTATCCCATATGACAGTTTAGCTCCAGGAGTTTTCCTTGTGCTACATCAGGACTCCCATCAAACAAGTTAATTCCCTTCCTCCTCTATTTACTTTTTCCTCCATTGAGTTAATATCCTTAGCATTCCATATGCTATAGAGGTCACAGAGTGTGCGCTCTTGTCCAGCTATTTGGCCAGGAGGAATTAACATTTGTGTTAATTTGTGTTTACTAAAGTAAGTAAATTTCATCCATTATTATTTGAAAACTTCTCATTTTACTCCCCACTGAGTAGTCTGACACCTTAGAAAAGCACTTCACATTTGCACAATATTCTTAAAAGTTAAAAGGGGGGAATAAAAATCCACTATAATAGTATTAATAATAATATTTTTATTGTCGAAGGCTTTCATGGCCGGAATCACTGGGTTGTTGTAGGTTTTTTCGGGCTATATGGCCATGGTCTAGAGGCAAATGCCTCTAGACCATGGCCATATAGCCCGAAAAAACCTACAACAACCCAATAATATTTTTATTTCTTACCCTTCTCTCCTCACAGCTTGAGGCAGGTTACAACATTGCCAAAACATATAATAATTTAAAACTCTGCATATCATACACATATTAAATTGTATTTCCATAAAATACATATTAAAATATACAAAACAAAACTGTCTGGGTCTATTTTACCTGAGACACCATATTGTACCTGAAACACTAACTCTCAGAGGAAGCAACAAGGGGAGCAACTATTCTGGATCCGATCCTATCCAGCACCAAGAACCTGGTAAGTGGTGTGATTCTTAGATAGGAGTGACTTGAACTTCATTTTGTTAGTTTTGGCCCATCTCTCTAATCTTGACAGATTAGAGAGATGGGCCAAAACTAACAAAATGAAGTTCAACAGTGACAAATGCAAGATACTCCACTTTGGCAGGAAAAACGAAATGCAAAGATACAGAATGGGGGACGCCTGGCTCGAGACCAGTACATGTGAAAAAGATCTCGGTGTCCTTGTGGACAACAAGTTAAACATGAGCCAACAATGTGATGTGGCGGCAAAAAAAGCCAACGGGATTTTGGCCTGCATCAATAGGAGCATAGTGTCTAGATCTAGGGAAGTAATGCTACCCCTCTATTCTGCTTTGGTTAGACCACACCTGGAATATTGTGTCCAATTCTGGGCACCACAATTCAAGAGAGATATTGACAAGCTGGAATGTGTCCAGAGGAGAATGACTAAAATGATAAAAGGTCTGGGAGAACAAGCCCTATGAGGAGCGGCTTAAGGAGCTGGGCATGTTTAGCCTGAAGAAGAGAAGGCTGAGAGGAGATATGATAGCCATGTATAAATATGTGAGAGGAAGCCACAGGGAGGAGGGAGCAAGCTTGTTTTCTGCTTCCTGGAGACTAGGACGCGGAACAATGGCTTCAAACTACAAGAGAGAGATTCCATCTGAACATGAGGAAGAACTTCCTGTCTGTGAGAGCTGTTCAGCAGTGGAACTCTCTGCCCCGGAGTGTGGTGGAGGCTCCTTCTTTGGAAGCTTTTAAACAGAGGCTGGATGGCCATCTGTCAGGGGTGATTTGAATGCAATATTCCTGCTTCTTGGCAGGGAGTGGACTGGATGGCCCATGAGGTCTCTTCCAACTCTTTGATTCTATGATTCTATGATTCTATGACTATGTGCTTATGGAGTTTGTGATACAGAGGCATCCCATGTTGAATAGAAGTCACCGGGGGGAAGCCAGGTGACTGACGCTTTGCCCCGTGGGATGGGGCTTGGGTGAGTCAAATGATGCGGAGCATGGAGCAACGGGTTCCCCATGCCCTCCAATGGGCACCACCAGATTTGCCACGATGTAAGGCGATTCCGGTGGCCCATCTGATGAGGTCATTTGTCATTTGTCACTCTTCACATACCTTTGCTTGTTTTAAACTCAAAGAGTTGTAAGGAACTCCGACGTCTTCGTTTTGCAACTTGGGGGCACTTTATCTCTGGAAGAGGGGTAGAGGATATAAAGAAAATATTATTATAATGAGGGCTGGATCTCCACTGCCATATAATGCAGTATCAGAATGCAGATTAACAGCATTATTTACCGTATATACTCGAGTATAAGCCGACCCGAATATAAGCCGATGCACCTAATTTTACCACAAAAAATTGGGGAAAGGTATTGACTCAAGTATAAGCCAAGGGTGGAAAATGCAGTAGCTATGGGTCAATTTCAAAATAAAAATAGATACCAATAAAATTACATTAACTGAGGCATCAGTAGGTTCAATGTTTTTGAATCTATATAAATAAAAATGTAATGTTCATTTGTAGGATTAACATAACTCAAAAACCACAAACGCCACTATCACCTGTTCGTCTATGTTCAGCACTATTTCCAATTTTAATTTTACATTTGGCCTTCCCATAGTTTTAATTGTATGTTGTCTTATTGATAATGTTATATGTTTATGTTTTATTTTAATTGTTTGTATTGTTGTGATTGTTGCTTGTATTGTGTGTTTGGGCTCGGCCTCATGTAAGCCACACCGAGTCCCTTGGGGAGATGGTAGTGGGGTACAAATAAAGTGTTACTATTATTATTATTATTATTATTATTATTATTATTATTATTATTAATTGACACCAAATTTGGACACAATAGAAATATCAGGCCAACGAGTGACCATCACTCATAAAAACACTGAAAAAAACAGCAAAAGAGAATTTAAAAGCCAAAAAAACCAAAAAATACATTACAACGCATGTGCAAAACCACATATATACACAAACACACATATATACAAATATATACACACATATATACACACACAAAACACATATACACAGACTGGGCCACAGCAACAAGTGGCAAGGGACGGCTAGTGTTTATAAATGTAATAAAATAACAATAATAACATAGTAAAATAATAAATAACGTTGACTCGAGTATAAGCCGAGGGGAACTTTTTCAGCCTAAAAAAGGGCTCAAAAACTAGGCTTATACTCGAGTATATACAGTATTTATTATTTATTTATTTCATGCCGTTCTACCCTGCCTTTCTCCCCCCGAAGGGAAACTCATACAAGCATCATATGATGCTATAAGCATATAAACAATCAAAAATTACATTTAAAACATTAAAAATCATTAAAAACATTATACAAATTCATTAAACAATAAATTAAACATGCCAATTAAAACCAAGTCCAAATCAGGGTAAATCCAATGTTGCAGATATCCTAAGTTTTCTTGCCAATTGTCGCATTGAACTAGTGTAGACATATAATCAAATTCAATGCAAATAATCTGCATTTTATAGCAGTGTAAATCCCACCAGCATTAGATAAGAAGACAGTGAAGTGCTAAATTCTATGATCATATGTGTTTCTATTTATTGAGAGGTGATCGGATCTTTCTCCCAAGTCAGATAGAAAAGGAGTGTAACTTTAAATATTTCCATTTTATATGTCTATATATCTCATCAGTTTGATGACCCCAGTTCACTCCAAAAGCAATTACACTGTGTGTTGCTTGGGTCTGGTTTGGGGGCATAGGAAAGGAAGCATTCCCAGAGATGGCCCAGATCATATCAGATGAAACAGAAAAAAGGACCCACACACGCCCATTGTGTGTTCCCCCCAAGTCTCCAAGTGCATTGTGAAAAGATTATGATAATTTGGGGGATCATTTCCTGAAGTACAAGGTGTGGTGAGGCAACATTCAAAGGACATTTCTGAGAAGTTATTACAGGGCAAAACAGAAAAGGCAATGTGGGTGCATTGTATGTTGTAATGGAGCAGCGTCTCATAAATCATATTCTTGGAGTCTAATTTGCAATAACAGGTATATAAAGGAAAGGAGGTTAAGGAGGAAATGCTTGGCAGCCCCTCCAGGCATGTACTGCCCTTCCTTCTCCTCAATCGCATCACCTTCCTTAAAGGAAATGTGGGTTTTTGATGTTATTTTAAGGATTGAATCTTTGTGTTCCTAAAAAACTTGGCTTGGAAAAGAGAGGGCCCTCTGTATCTATGGATTCAATCATCCATGGCTTGAATATATGTGTATGTCTCCAAAAAACCAAAGTTTGACTTTACCATTTTATATAAAGGACACCATTTTACTAAATCCTTGTAGATGGACGTGAGCATCCACAAGTTTTGGTATCCACAGAGGTCCCGGAACCTAACCCCAGGGGATACTGAGGGGCTTGGTTTTTATGTACTTGGGACTTAGGCATGCACTGATTGTTCTGTCGTGCGCTGGGCTTGAAATGAATTGCTTTTAAAACAGGACGTATAACTTTAGCCCAGCGGGAAGCCAGGGGGCCCGAAGAGAAATTCGTAAGGATTTTCACCATAAACAGTCTTTAGAGGGCTTGTGAAATATAACAAAGTCTTTTATTGGTGAACAATCAACAGAAACTTCTTTTGTCTTCAAAAGGTTAAACAAATGCTTCCAGGCTTTTGTGCAACTGGTGGCTTCTAACTGTTACTTTACTCTAAAGGAAAATCCCTTTCCAAACTTCTCCCAGGCTAACTGTGAACCTAAACCTAACTGATGTGGTTCCACTACCGGGTTGAACTGTGTCTCAAAGCACCAAGTGGACCCACCAGTAGACCTGTAGTCACTTCAGCTGGAGTTCTTGGATATTCAAAGCTGCTTTTCCCTCCGAAATTCCTCAGAGCTTTAGGGCTGTTTTCCCTGGGAATCTTTGGGAATCCTTTTGCTCTTAAGACTGTTCTCCCCCGGGAAGTCTTAAGGGTTGAAGCCTTTGTACAGGAGAAGTCTGTATACGTCCTGTACATTGACTTTCCTTGCTGAGACTGATTGAAAATGGCTCCCTTCCCTTCTCAATTGTCCTGAACAGGGGGCGGAACCAAACTTAACGATGATGGACAGGGGGCCTGCCCTATAACTGCAAACTTTAACAGGAAGCCACCCTTCTGCAGAATCCCAAGCCTTGGGCTGCAAGCAAACACTTAATACAAGGCAAATAAAGTGGGAGCTTCTGGTACAGCTCTACCAGCACACTGATAGTTCTTGGTTTGGTACAGTTGGTCCTCCATGGATTTAACCATCTGATAGTTTTAAAAGTTTGATTTATATACCTAGAAGGGGCAACAAGTTCAAAACATTTAAGAAGATCTGTTTTAAAGCATACTTTTCAGACCGTAATATACTACTATTGAATTTTCCAGAGCTCCTAGGTATTGTCTAGAGCAGTGTTTCTTAAGCCCTGTTCCTCCAGATCAGTGGTTCTCAACCAGTGGGTCCCCAGGTGTTTTGGCCTACAACTCCCAGAAATCCCAGCCAGTTTACCAGCTGTTAGGATTTCTGGGAGTTAAAGGCCAAAACATCTGGGGACCCACAGGTTGAGAACCACTGCTCCAGATGTTTTGGACTTCACCTCCTACAATTTCCAACAGCTGGTAAGCTGGCTGGGATTTCTGGGAGCTGAAGTCCAAAACACCAGGAGGAGCAGAGTTTGAGAAACACTGGTCTAAAGGAGAAATTTGGTTTTTGCTACATCACACATTCAAAACATGAAGCAAAATAGTTTATGAAGTAACTAATATTTTAAATGGGAAATAATATTTTAAATCACAAGTGGAAATGTATGTGGTACTGCAAGAAAGTTTTTGTGGTCCTCAACACCTTTAGAATCCCCAGAAAAACCTTATTTGTTTGTTTGTTTGTTTGTTTATTTGTTTATTTGTTTATTTACAGTATTTATATTCCGCCCTTCTCATCCTACAGGGGACTGAGGGCAGATTACATGGCAAACATTTAGCGTCATAGACAAACAACATATTTGCCAAGTTGTTTTCAGAAAACAGAGGCTATTTAATATTCCAGTTTCTGGCCACCAGGGGAGCTGTTGCTTCACCATCCATTTGTGACACTGATGAAGTACTTTCCTCATTCTTTGCATACTTCCTGGAGATTTTTATGACCTTGTAAATTAGTTAAATTAGCCTCCCCACATAAGTGGTACCTAAATTTCCTACTTGACAGATGCAATTGTCTTTCGGGCTGCAAAGGTTGACAACAAGCTACACAATTTTGGTCAGGAGTTCAATCCAACCCAGGCTGGCTGGCTTTGGTCAGTAGAGATCTTAATGCAGCTGACTCCCAGTCAGCTGCGCCACAGTCCTGGTGTGGCTGATCCACATCTACAACAGCCTAAGTAGCCAGTATAGATGGGGGCTAGGTGCATCTATTTGATAGAATTAATGCATTTTGTCACCCCTTTAACTTCCAAAGCTCAGTGCTAGGAAATCTTGGGATTTTTAGCTTAGTGAGAACTTTTTTTCATGAGGGTATTCTGGCCACCAGGGAGCTGTTGCTTCACCATCCATTTGTGACACTGATGAAGTGCTTCCTTGTTCTTTGCATGCTTGCTGGAGATTTTTATGGCGTCGTAAATTAGCCTCCCCACATAAGCACTACCTAAATTTCCTACTTGACAGATGCAACAGTCTTTTGGGCTGCAAAGGTAGACAGCAAGCTACACAAATTAGCCAGAAGCTTACTCTAACCTGGACTGGCTTCAAACTCATGACCTTTTGGTCAGTAGTGATCTTAATGCAGCTGACTCCCAGCCAGCTGCGCCACAGTCCCGGTGCTTGTACCTTGTACTTACCCAAAAAAAAAGAAAGCACTTGCAAATCTCCAATAATGTTAAAAGACTGCAACGTGTCAAAGTACTGGCTGAAATTTTTTTATGTGGATTTTTGAAAACCAGAGGCTAATTTCTAGACACTGGGTTTTTCTTTTTCAGTTATCTCAGGGCAAAAAAGTGGCCTTTAGAGTTGCCATAAATTAAACATTCCATGCTTTGAACACATCCCATTCCTACCTGATCTTTCTTTTGTGGAAAGCTTGTTGCTGGTCTCCAAGGCCAACCCAGCATCTTCAAACACACCCATATTGTTCCTACCACTGCCAGCAGTACAGCCAATGTCACTCTTTTCAACTGTGTCCCAGATCTGAAAGAGAATAGGCTCCAATGAAACAATGTATAGACTCAACATCTCAGATGTCACACCCCAATGGAATCCTGCGCCTTACCTTAGTCTGACTTATCTTATACTTTTTGTTCAGAACATAGACAGCTTTGTCCACAGCCACAAGGCCGACCCGAGCTTTTGCATCCCCTTCCACTATTATAGTCACTTGGCTACTTGGAGGATGAATGTGATCGTCAGCCTTAGTTGCTCCTTTCACAACCAGCTGTTTGGGGAAAGAAACAAAATGTAGAAATCTTGTTGACAACAACTTTCCCTGTGATCAGCTTTTGAATAAGTTCGAAAGATAATTTAGAAGTCTCTTATTCATTTCCTTCTCTCAAAAAAGGTTACAAAATACTCTAGATGCCTCAGTACAGACTGTTTAATCTGCAATCCACAAAGGTCAAAGAGGAACTTTCAGAGGAAAGATCAGAGTTTGCACACTTGGCCTTCAGTGTTTCTAAGAAAGGGCCTTGCAGTGATATTGAGAAATAATATCAGCAGAAAGGGTGACCTACCGTTCCCATGCAGGTATCCTTCACATCCACCCAGACAGAGTCGGCCACAATCTCGCTGTTCCCCACTTGGTAGTAAGCCACAATTCGGAAGGAAGGGATGAGAATGGGGGTGATGGGCAGAGACATAGTCACGAGATGCTGCCCGGCAGACCTGGGTTGCCTCCCAACCTTGATTATTCTCCCTTTACTTAAGATCTGGTGATAAATAAGACATATTGATTAATTAAGATAGCTGAAGGTCAGTTAACCAGGGGTCCTCAAAGTTTTAAACAGGGGGCCAGATTACTGTCCCTCAGACCATTGGAGGGCCAGACTACAGTTTTTTTTAAAAAAAACAATGACCAAATTCCTATGCACACTGCACATGTCTTATTTTGCTATTGTTATGAATCGTAATGTAAATATCTGATATGCATGATGTATTTTTTTTGTTACAATCTGAACATAAAGCATAGTGATTAATCACAAAAACATAAATATAGGAAATAAATCTATATAAATAAAAATGTAATGTTTGTTTGTGGGATTAACAGAACTCAAAATCCACTGGATACCTAACAACCCAATGTATGTCCTTCACTCAAAAAATTTATTTTGTCATTTGGGAGTTGTAGTTGCTGGGATTTATAGTTCACCTACAATCAAAGAGCACTCTGAACCCCACCAACGATGGAATTGAACCAAATGTGGCACACAGTTCTCCCATGACCAACAGGAAATACTGGAAGGGTTTGGTGGGCAGTGTCCTTTGGTTTTGGAGTTGTAGTTCACCTACCTCCAAAGATCACTGTACACTCAAACAATGATGGATTTTACCAAACTCTCCTTGATTTGCACCGTGTTAGTTGCATTTCAAGCAAATCTATACGTGATACATTTTTTACATTATATATTAATTATCATTAGTGCCAGGCAGGCCCGTAGCCAGGATTTAGTTTCAGGGGGGCTGAATTTTTTTTCGGGGGGGGGTTGGGGGGGTTTCGGGGCGGGGGCTGAGTCTGAGTGAAAGAGGGTCTAGCCTAGCAAACCTTTTGTATCATTACCCCAATACCCCCATGCATATGGGATATATTGAGTATGGTGATCAGATCATGATATGAATAAACATAACAGTTTAAATAATGCACCAGTAAGGCCTTTTCGTGAACCACCATGAGAATTTCGGGGGGGGGGGGGCTGAAGCCCCTCAAGCCCCCCCCCCCCCCCCCGGCTACATGCCTGGTGCCAGGATAATTAACTTTGTAGCCAAAAACGTTATTTTAAAGAAACAAAGTTAGAAAAAGCACACCCATATGGCTCTTAAGTGACTGCAGTCTTCCCACCACGTCGAGCCCTCCTTTGAGCAGCTCCCCATTCTGAAGGTGAGGAGGTTGTCTGCGATTCGCGGAGGCGGCGCTGGGTGGCCGTGGCCAGGCAACGCCAGCTTTCCTAGCCCAGAGGCCCCACCCGGGAGGCTTCTCCCTCCTACACGGGAGGGAAAGAAGGAAGAAGGGAAGGAAGGGAAGGAAGGGGGGAGGAAAGGGAGGGAAGGAGGGAAGAGAAGGGAGAAGGAAGGGGAAGGGGAGAGAAAGGGGGAAGGGGAAGGAAGAAAGGAGGGAGAAGCCTGGCCTGGCGCAACCCCGCCTGAAGCCGCTCCGGAGGGAGAGAGAGAGAAACGCCGCTGACGCAAGCAGCGAGGGGCTTTGCGCCAGGCCAGGCCACATGGGCCAGATAAATGCCCTCGGCGGGCCGCATATGGCCCACAGGCCTTAGTTTGGGGACCCCTGGTTTAAACGATGAGAGTATAAGATAAAGATATTGGCATCACGCTTACACCATGAGTGAAATAAAACTGTTTTGTCACTTTCTCATGAAGCATTGTTTAATTCTGTTGGATCCTCAAAAGGGCCATATTGAAATGATGATCTCAACTGAGAGGTTTTTTTTAAAGATTTGGTCTACATGAAATATTGCTGGATTCAGCTTTTCTCTCAGGACTAGACACGAGACAAGTAGTTTTCCCTTCCCTCCCTTAAAAATAAATGCAAAGCCAGCAAACAAGTAATAATGTGAGCTTCAGATTTTCATTCTGCACAGACTTACTATGTAGGTCAAATATTTGACTTGGCTCCCTAAAGGTACATTTTTGTTGCTTTTTATGTTGAAGTTGACCATTAAGTTGTCTCCAGCTTTAAGCTCTGTAGCCGTAATTCCTAAATGAAGATAGTTTCCAGACCCTCCCTGGGTTTGGTAGGCTGTAGCCACCATGGTCTTGGTTGCCTGGCGTTCATCCGGGAGTCTCTCTTGGTTGGTTTTTACCTAGAACAAGTGAGAAGGATTAACAAATCTCGAAGAACCCATGGAAACTTCACTCAATCACATGTCAACTTGTAATGAGCCAATTTGGGGCGGGGGGGGGGGGAGAGAGATAATGCCCAAGGGAGAAAAAAATACCAAATATCTGCTTCCTATCATGATCTGTGGAGCTCCTGGTGGCACAGCAGGTTAAACCACTGAAATGTTGGACTTACTGACCAAAAGATCAGTGGTTCAAATCCAGGGAGCGGGGTGAGCTCCTGCTGTTAGCTCCAGCTTCTGCCAGCCTAGCACTTCAAAAACATGCAAATGTGAGTAGATCAATAGGTACCGCTCCATGCAGTCATGCTGGCCACATGACCTTGGAGGTGTCTACGGACAATGCCAGCTCTGCAGCTTAGAAATGGAGGTGAGCACCACCCCCCGGAGTTGGACACAATCAGACTTAACATCAGGGGAGACCTGATCTGTGAGGTATCTCTATGATGTGACCTGCATTATCAGGATAAAGGAACAAAAATCTGTTATAAGAACAGCAAATGACTACGACTTTGGGACATATAAATGGTAGGCTATGGAAGTTGTGATGAAACTCAAGAAATAAGGAAAGATCACCTGAGAATAAAGAAAATTTCCCAGGCCTGAAGCCCTTTGAATATCCAAATACTAGCAAGTGAATTTGTCATCAAGGGCAATTCATCAGTGGGAATCTATTGTGTAGAAGATGAATTGGATACTGTGGTTGAGGTGAGAACTAGTTGTCTTTTCTGTCACTCCCTTCATCATTCTTTTCCCATCCTCCACTTTCTGTCACATACACACACACACACAACATAGTCATTCTCCTTTTCCCCTCTTGCTCGTCTTACAAGGCTCGTCTTGTGGGTGCAAGGGAGAGAGCATTCTCCTCTGTGGCTCCCCGACTCTGGAACTCACTACCTGGAGAGATCAGGAAAGCCCCTACACTAGAAACGTTTAAAAAGAACCTTAAAACCTGGCTCTTCCGCTGCGCCTTTGGCAAGTAGGTGCACAACGCGATTCTATTGCTCCCCTCAACACTTCTGTCACTGGAGTACATGTTCCCCCAAATGGGAGGTTTCGTTTCACAACCCTGTGTATCTTCGTGAGTTCCCTGCAAATAACTTGCTCCTATTTTTATCTCATTGGAGTTTTAACATTTTATCCTGTACATGTGGCCTGCCCATTGTTTACTGCGACTGTGTTTTTTGTTTATTGCAATGTTACTTTTTCATGTAATTTTGATGATGTTGCTTGCTGTTTATGTTTTGGTTTTATTTTGATGTAATGTGTTGTTCTGGCTTGGCCCCATATAAGTCCCCATTGGGGAGATGGTGGCGGGATATAAATAAAGATTATTATTATTATCATCATTATTGTTACTGAATGGCCTTTTCACAATGGGAGAGGTCACTCTTGCCAAAGTTCTGAACTGATAACATAAAGAAGGATTTTGGCATGAGGGCTTGGGCAAGGGTTGCATGAAAATAATCCAGATGAAAATATAGCCCTAGCACAGTCATTTACCTACAAAGCGTTAATTCTGACACTAAAGCATACATATTACCCTAATGGTGTGCGAACAGTTTCAGTTCAGTGCTGAGAAGAAGATAAACGTAACATAATATCAGAGTGACTCACAGTGATTGTTAGCTCTTGTGTGTCTGCTGGTGTGTTCAGGACCAGCTTGGCTGTCCCGTCGTTCTGGGTGGTTGCCTCAGCCCGAATGGGTTCTGATACCACAGGGACACGGGCAGCTGGGGAACCATCAGGGTTGGTGACAAACACCTATGAAGCAATTCCAAAAACATGATTGAATATGGATTGCAGAAGTCCCTCCTGAGTCTAAATCATTGCCCCCAGGATATTGGCAACAACAGAGATTTTGGGAGATATCTAAGGACTGTTTGGATGTCTCAATCGGAAGACAGCATTAGCATTTCTGGAACTGGGCCATGAGATGAAACAGGAATTCAGTTAGATTACCATCAGTTCGTAGGGCATCTCTGGCTTGAAGAATTTGGGGGTTTTTGTGAAGAGGATCTGATAAGGAGATGTCACTATGTTAATGTCACCTCTCTCAGCCACCACCATGTCGCTCCCTGGAGAAAGAGGAAGGCACAAGAACAAGAAGTGAAGAGGAATGTTGAGAGAGTGCTGTACATACAGCTGCAGTATATATCGTTTTCAAATTCCTGTCCTAAAGGAACATTTCCACATATGCTTGACTGTTAAAGAAAGCCTGTGGATTGAACCAGCAGTAGAAATGTACGAGGGGTATTTTTAAAGTAAGGTCCGTTTTGTTGTAGACACTAGTAGTTTGCGCGCATACCACAACGAGCGCATGCGTCGTGTACCGGCATGCCTCGGGAACAACTGTGCTCAGTTTCCGCTCTGTAGCTAACCTGTACGGTTCTGTTCTGTGCTTTAAAAATGTTTAAGACTATCAACTCACCCTCCGCATGTGAGGTTCGCTCAGTGATACGGTTTTTGTCAGCAAGGAACCTGCCTGCTGCAGAAATTCATTGGTGGGTGAGTTGATAGTCTTAAACATTTTTAAAGCACAGAACAGAACCGTACAGGTTAGCTACAGAGCGGAAACTGAGCACAGTTGTTCCCGAGGCATGCCGGTACACGACACACGCGCTCGTTGTGGTATGCGCGAACTACTAGTGTCTACAACAAAACGGACCTTACTTAAAAAATACCCCTCGTATATACTGAATCACTGGGTTGTTGTAGGATTTTTCGGGCTATATGGCCATGTTCTAGAGGCATTTTCTCCTGACGTTTCACCTGCATCTATGGCAAGCAGGAACAGAGGGCAGACCTCACTACCTCTGAGGATGCTTGCCATAGATGCAGGCGAAACGTCAGGAGAAAAATTGCCTCTAGAACATGGCCATATAGCCCAAAAAAACCTACAACAACCCAGTGATTCCGGCCATGAAAGCCTTCGACAATACATTATGATTACATATTTGCCCACAATAATATGGGGCTTAAACAGAAAAGGCAATGTAGGAAATAATTTGATAATACACAAATAGAACTTAAAACAAGCAGCTGTCTCAGAGTGCACCAACACTGTAAAAATAATGCAGTTTGGAACCATTTTAAATGCTATGTTTCGATGTTATGGAATCCTGGGTTTTGTTGTTTGGTGAAGCACCAGCAGTCTTTGACAGCGAAGGATAAAGACCTTGTAAAAATACAACTCCCATAATTTCATAGCAATGCGCCATAGCAGCTAGAATGATACCAATCTGCATTAATTCGACAGTGTAGGTGCAACCTTCAACACATGTTACTATGGTAAACAAAAAGAGTCGAAGCATCACTTGTACATTACATGGGATTCTGTATTTTTCAAGTTTCATGTTTCATCTTACAATGGGATTTACTCAGATATTTTTTTTCTCAAAGGAGCACATATTGTATGATTCATACAGATGGGTTCTGAGGTTCTGTGAAAGTGCCTTAACATTTGATGATGTGCCACCTTCTCCACGTCTCCTTAAATTTTTGGTTGTCAGCTTTCAACAAAGGCAGAATCCCTCACAAGGCAGGATTTGGCACAAGTGTCTCCTTTGCTTGGTTTAAGGGAAGAAAAGGCAAAGATCTACACATTTGCCTAGTTGATTTCTCTGGATTTGATCAAAATTTTCTAAGAATCTCTAGTTTCCTATAATATAACTCTGTGGTTAATTTCTGCCAAAAGTTGACCATACAGTCGTGCTGGAGAACCTAAAGATTTGTAGAGCGGCTTTCGATACCATCGCTCATGGTATCAGCGGCTTTCGATACCATCGATACCATCTCAGCGGCTTTCGATACCATCGATCATGGTATCCTTCTGGGTCGTCTCTCTGGGATGGGTCTCGGGGGCACGGTTCTGTCGTGGCTCCGGTCCTTCCTGGAGGGACGAACCCAGATGGTGAAGCTGGGAGACGCCTGCTCGGATCCCTGGCCTTTGACCTGTGGGGTCTCGCAAGGCTCTATTCTGTCTCCCATGCTCTTTAACATCTACATGAAACCGCTGGGAGAGGTCAACCGGAGTTTTGGAGTTGGATGCCATCTCTATGCAGATGACACACAACTCTACTACTCTTTTCCACCTAACTCCAAGGAGGCCTCTCGGGTGTTGGATGAGTGCCTGGCCGCTGTGTCTATTTGGATGAGGAGGAACAAGCTGAAGATCAATCCTGACAAGACAGAGGTCCTCCTGGTCGATCGCAAACCGGAACGGGGTATAGGGTGGCTACCTGTGTTGGACGGGGTTACACTCCCCCTGAAGCCACAGGTCCGCAGTTTGGGAGTCCTCTTGGACTCATCGCTCACGCTTGAGGCTCAGGCGTCAGCGGTGTCCGGGAGGGCTTTTGCACAATTGAGACTTGTGCGCCAGCTGCGACCGTACCTCGCAAAGGCTGATCTGGCCGGGGTGGTCCATGCCTTGGTCACCTCTAGATTGGACTACTGCAATGCGCTCTACGTGGGGCTGCCCTTGAAAACGGCTCGGAAATTCCAACTGGTCCAACGGGCAGCAGCCAGGATGTTAACTGGGGCCCCTTACAGAGAGAGGTCAACCCTCCTGTTTAAGGAGCTCCACTGGCTGCCATTTATTTTCCGAGCCCAATTTAAGGTGCAGGTGCTTACCTACAAAGCCCTGAATGGTTTGGGACCACCCTACCTGCGTGACCGCATCTCTGTCTACGAACCCACACGCTCACTTAGGTCATCTGGAGAGGCCCTGCTCGTGATCCCGCCCGCCTCGCAAGCGCGCTTGGTGGGGACGCGAGACAGGGCCTTTTCTGTGGTGGCCCCCCGACTTTGGAACGCCCTCCCAAAAGATCTTAGACAGGCCCCTACATTGGCAGTCTTCAGAAAGAATTTGAAAACCTGGCTGTTCCGATGTGCCTTCTCAGATTAGGAAACCCGATACCAAGTCCTAGAAGCACTTTAGTAGAACTAAGATCACTGCACACCGCACACTGCACTTACTTTATAATCCTACATTTCTCCCGCCATTTCAGCACTTTTAATCTTGTACCCATTACTCTGGCCGGTCCAGTTTTAAAGTGCCTTGACGTATTGTTATTTCTGTTGTTTATTCTGCTTAACTGTTTTTAATTTGCTTTAGGTATTGTTTTGTTATACTGTGTTTTGTTGTACTGTGTTTTGAGGCTTCGGCCTGTGTAAGCGGCATCGAGTCCTGCGGGAGATGCTAGCGGGGTACAAATAAAGTAATAATAATAATAATAATAATAATAATAATAATAATAATAATAGAGAAGTGCTCTCTCAGGTTTTAAAAAACATTTTAAATTCATGGTTTTTCCACTTTCACTGGGGTTTCCGACTCGGGAACTCTCTACCTTCACTTTGGCTTGAAAACATGGCTGTGTGCCTTCCCTGAATGAAGGAAATAATGCCCGATCTGACCAATTTCCTTCTATACGTCCTCTGAAGTACTTTATCAGTTGGATTGATCCCCCCCATATCAGGGTTTCAAAATTTTAATCTACATCTGACCCTGCCCTAATGTTTTTAAATCTTTTGTGTGTTATTGCTTACATGTTCAATTGTATTATTTATATTGTTTTATTTGCTTGCTTGTTTGTTGATGTATTGTTGTATTTGTATTTGACGGGCTTAGCCTCATGTAAGCCGCCCCGAGTCCCTTCGGGGAGATGGTGGTGGCGGGGTATAAATAAAGTATTATTATTATTATTATTATTTTACACCCCTAACACCAGCGACTGTAGAGAACTGACTGTACTTGACCCAAGAATCAAGATCAGAGGTTGAATTATCTTCACACAACACTATGAAACACACTTACTATGGCAAAGTCCAGAGTTCCCTTTGTAAACCATTTGCGTGTGCAAGTGCGATACACCACCCACAGCCCACCCAAGAAGTACGCTCACACATGATGTTGTGATGAACAATGGCCACAACTCATTTATTGATAACAGGAATAAGGGTTGGCAGCCAAACATGGGTCCTGGATCACGATCGGGCAGCCCAATACTGCCCGATCCCGCACACGCCAGGGTGCCGCCGGCACAATACCGGGCAAACGCAACTCGGCACCCCTGGGACCACCAGGCGTTCCCCCTTACCGCTAGGGGGGATACCAAACCAGATCCAGGGCCCATGCCCCATACCAACAAGGAGTTGTGACAAGGAGCATAAAACAAACAAGTAACTGTTAACAGGTAATCAGGGCAAGGTAAACAACAACAAAAGTTAACCGCCAGTGAAAACATAAACTGCATGCAGGGTGGGTGGGTGGGATGGATCAGCTGTTGCAGGCCCAGTGCCTGCTGGGGAGCTTGGTGCAGACTTATAAAGGCTGCCCCCAAGGAGGGAGAGGCCAGCTCAGGCCTCTCCCGCAGCGGGCGTGGTCAGTTGGCCATTGGTCAATTGACCCACCGGCGAGAAACCTTCCCGCCATCCGAGGGGGCTTCTGGGAGGAAGAAGCCCCCCCTAAGGCAAGAATGGCGGTGAGGGACGCCCTGCACCGCAACTTCTTTTGGCCCGGTAAGTCGGGCCATGCCTTTTGTTAATTCATGTGGCTTAGAATCCACTACTCACCTGATTCTGTTATCACTGTTACAGAGATGTAGAGAGAGTGCCCAACAAGCTCATTAACATTGTGAGATCGGGTCTGAAGCATGCCTTTTGTTAGCACTGCATTCCCTTTCCCATTTTGGATCTAGAAAGAAGATAAACATAAGAAGGAACATAAACAGGACATCAACACTGTATATCTTTCTAGATCTTTCTCACCCGCTCTCACTCTTCAATAAATGGATCTTCTTACTGGAATTCTCCTGAGTGAGTCTGCAATATTCTTTTTCTCATCATCAATTTTCACTCCAAAGAGAACAAAGGCTACACCTTCCACTGCCTTTCCATAAAGGTACCTGGAAGAACACAAGGAAAAAAGACCTGTTTGTTTGCATCTATCCTGTTAACATGGAACAAAGAGGCAAGACATTTACATTTGACATCACACAAGACTGCATAAGTGAATATAGTTAAACATCAATCATAATAATGTTGTCCCTTATTGGGGGGATCTCAATAACTCCTTTAATGTCCAGACTAAAACCGGATCTGACTCATTACCCCTCCACCAGAATAGAAACCACTAGCTACTACTTTGTAAATAATACGGTATATTGATATATTATTTCAGATCTGTAGAATCACTGGTTCAGGGTCCCAGTATGCCTAGGCTCCGACGGATCAAATCAGACATGAATGGGTTGAAGGCAAGGATCAGAGGCTTTGGCCAAAAATGGATGTCAGAGAGAAAGGATTCTCAATTCAGGCAAAAAGCAATGGATACATACAGAGACATTTCTATAGATTTGACATCTATTCAAAGAATTGACTTTAGCATCACTGGGTGCTGATTGGTGCAAGTTACAATCCACACGCTGATTAGTGGAGGTGGGTAGTCTGTTGCCGCCGTTGATTGATTTTCTTGTCTGGGAGAAATTTAATAAAGTATCACTGTTCAATTTGAAACATGTGGTTGTTTCCTGTGTCCGCCTTACTTGGGTGCATGAGGAAAGGCGTGTGGGCAGGGTTTAGGGTTGACTATCTTTGATGGGTTTCATCCTAGCAGCCAGGATTTGACAATGGGTCTAGGCTGAGAAAACAATGGGTGCCAAAACACCTTCATGGGTTCCCAGTGAGAAACAAAGACAGAGTGTCGGGTGACTCAACAATCTTTCCTACAACCCAGGGATTAATTCGTTGTTAGGTGGGAGGTTTTATTGTTGACCAGGAAGGATGGGCATTGGGTGATCGTGACAACCAACCCAGAGGGGAATGAGATTAGCCCTGTGTCCCCTCTCCAAATCTTGTACAACTGTGTATATGGGAGCAAGGTCATCAGCTGGTGGGACCCTCCATGGCCATCTAATCAAACCTCTCCAGATCAGGGATTTTGTGGTCCAGGTTTCGATAACAATATGATGGACACAGTCAAATGTTAAGTCTACATATTTGTTTTGTTTGGAAGAACAAAACGGATATGTTATCACACAGAGATAGTTCTCTTAAATATAATAATTACATTTCTAAAAACGTTATTTCAGATTACTGGGTTTACATTCCTCATTATAAGATACATCAATTACACCCCTATATTTCTTATATTTTGCAGTAGGACAAAAAGGTTTGCCCTTAGTCATAGGAATATATTGCATGATGCTGCTATTCCACAACCACTAGGATTGTGGCGCAGCTGGCTGAGTATCAGCTGCATTAAGATCACTCTGACCAAAGGTCATGAGTTTGAAGCCTGCCCGGGTTGGAGTGGGTTTCCAACCATTGTGTAGCCTGTTGTCGACCTTTGCAACCCGAAAGACAGTTGCATATGTCAAGTAGGAAAATAAGGTACCACCTTAATGTGTGGGGAGGCTAAATTAACTAATTTATGAGGCCATAAAAAAGACTCCAGCAAGCACTCCAACAAAAAGCATGCGGGGAATGCAGAAGTACTTCATCAGCGTCGCAGATGGACGATGAAAGCGACAGCTCCCCTGGTGGCCAGAAAAAGTTAAATAGCCTCTGTCTATGTCTGCATATGTTGTATGTCAAAATTGGCATTGAATGTTTGCCATATATGTGTACACTGTAATCCGCCCTGAGTCCCCTGCGGGGTGAGAAGGGCAGAATATAAAAGCTGTAAATAAATAAATAAATAAATAAATAAACCACAGATAGCAGCAACTTATCAGTATATATATAAACACAAGCGTATATTACATCTAGTACAACACAAGATTTAACATGTAATTACACTAACACTGCATACATGATATTAAACAAAATATACTTGATTTCTAACTTTCTCCTCACTGGCATTTATTAATCATTAAAATTGTCTTGTCTCTATATAAATAAACTACCTGCATCAACATTTAACTTAAAAAATAATTTGTTTGGAGATCTAATTGTTATTGTGTACCTTTAGGTCATTTCCATTTTATGATAACCCTAAGGTGATCCAATAACAAGGTTTTATTGGCAAGATTTGTTCACAGTGGGGTGTTCCCTTGCTTTCTTGCGAGGTCAAGAGAATGCAACCTGTCAAAGATAATCTAATGCAGCGTTTCTCAACCTGGGGGTCGGATCCCGGGGAGGGGTCACCAGGGGGTGTCAGAGGGGTCACCAAAGACCATCAGAAAACACAGCATCTTCTATTGGTCTGTGTGGGAAGTCTAGCGCAATTCTATCATTGGTGGGGTTCTGAATGCTCTTTGGTTGTAGGTGAACTATAAATCCCAGCAACTACAACTCCCAAATGTCAAGGTCTATTTCCCCCAAAGTCTGCATTTGGGCATATTGAGTATCCATGGCAAGTTTGGTCCAGATCCATCATTGTTTGAGTCCACAGTGCTCTCTGGATGTAGATGAACTACAACTCCACAACTCAAGGTCAATGCCCACCAAACCCTTCCAGTATTTTCTGCTTGTCATGGGAGTTCTGTGTGTCAAGTTTGGTTCAATTCCATCATTGGTGGAGTTCAGAATGCTCTTTGATCCCAGCAACTACAACTCCCAAATGGCAAAATCAGTCCTCCCCAGCCCACCAGTTTTCAAATTTGGGCGTATCGGGTATTTGTGCCAAATTTGGTCCAGTGAATGAAAATACATCCTGCATATCAGATATTTACATGATGGTTCATAACAGTAGCAAAATTGCAGTTATGAAGTAGTAATGAAAATAATGTTATGGTTGGGGGTCACCACCACATGAGGAACTGTATTCAGGGATCGCAGCATTAGGAAGGTTGAAAAGCACTGATCTAATGGGTTTCTGTAGTCCAGAAGGGATTTGAATCCTGGTCTCTATTTAAGTCACTACATCATGTTTAAAATCTCCTGTTATCTGTGATTTAACATAGGAGAGTTGTAAACTGAAGATGTGGTTTTGTCCCTGGTCTAACAACTTGCTGATAAAATTGTGTGAGGGAGGGTAACTGCATGAGGACAACTTACCCTGGAAACACTGCTAAGTGTAGTTTAGAATGCAAATTATATCTTCCTGAAATGTATGATGCAATTGATAAGCAGGTAGCAAAGTAGTTTTCTCATACCTCAGACCTCACTACCTCTGAGGATGCTTGCCATAGATGCAGGCGAAATGTCAGGAGAGAATGCCTCTAGACCATGGCCATATAGCCCGAAAAAACCTACAACAACCTAGTTTTCTCATACATTCCCACAGCTGCATATACACCCACCTTGCAGTGATAGCCACATCAAAATTTCTCGTGGCATCAATATAATAAAACTTCTCAGCTGGTTCAATATCAACTTCAAAACTTGGCAACACTGGAGAAAAAAAGGGAGATTAGGAGGAGGCAAACTTGAATGAAAGGAAAGGAGTATGACTATATGAGATTTTGGACTTTATCACACAAAACTGCAATTGCACAGCCCTTGTGTGATCAATGATAGCAGCTACATGCTCGGATGAGCACCCTCATTATCACATTTCTCTGCATTCTCACAAAAATATGGTTCTGCACTCCTACTTCTGCATAACCTCATAATCCTGTCCACCCACATTTCTGCTAGTCCATAATTTTTAAAGCAATTTTGTAATTGCAGACATGGTTAATAAAAAAAATCCAAATACGATAGAGAAATTAAAGAAAAGAATTTTGGCAATCATTTTGTAAGAGCCTCACTACTAAGAACTTGGATGAGGTACAAAAGACTCTTCTACAAAACGACACCATTATGGGTCTCTCCAATGAAGGCTCATCAAAGGAGACTTTTAGGTTGGAGAATATGGCCGACATACAAAGATATTTTAATTAAAGGCACAATGGATATTAAGACTTTTGAACAACTGAAGGCAAACTATGAAAATATAACATGGCTTCATTATTTACAAATCAAAGATTATTATAAACAAGATAAAAAACAGGATTTGACTGGGAAGAAAATATATGGGATGAAATTTTGAAGAGGGAAAGGAAAATAGTTACAATGATCTATAATAAATTACTAGCATGGACAACAGAAAAAGAACAGGTCAAATCTTGTATGAAAATTTAAGGAGACCAATCAAATTCAGGGAGTGGGAACAAATGTGGAACAAAAAGTTAAAATATACTTATGCTTGTTTAAAATGTTCCACAGATGGTACACCACTCCAAAAAAATTAAGCCATATGTATAAAAATACATCGGATAAGTGTTGGAAATGTTGTGAAGAAGTAGGTACATTCTATCATATGTGGTGGACATGCAAGGAAACAACCAAATATTGGTCTTTAATCCACGAGGAAACACAAAAAATGTTAAACAAAAAGTTCAAGAAAAAACCAGAATACTGGGTTGTTGTAGGTTTTTCCGGGCTATAGGGCCATGTTCTGGAGGCAATTTTTCTCCTGACGTTTCACCTGCATCTATGGCAAGCATCCTCAGAGGTAGGATGCTTGCCATAGATGCAGGTGAAACGTCAGGAGAAAAATTGCCTCCAGAACATGGCCCTATAGCCCGGAAAAACCTACAACAACCCAGTGATTCCGGCCATGAAAGCCTTCGACAATACATTAAACCAGAATACTATTTGTTGGGCTTTACTGACTTGGAATTACAATTGGAGGAAAATGAAGATAAACTATTGACATTTATACAACAGTGGCGAGAATTATATTTGCTGAATCTTGGAAGAAAGAACAAATCCCCACAGTGGATGATCGGGTGGATAAGGTTAAAGAGATAAGAGACATGGATGAGTTAACTTTTTTGCTAAAGAAAAATACCGGGAAATCTATAAAAAAGGCAGACTCGGTTCTTTTTTATGACTATGAAAAGAATAGAAWAGAGAAAGAAACGAAGAAGAGGTAAATAACAATGAAATAAAAGATAAGAAGATCCTGAGATTGGAATGGAAGTCATTTTATTTTATTTTTATTTTTGTATTTTTTGTATTTTTGTATTTTGGGGMTTTTTTTCCTCCTTTTTTATTGATTGTATTTCCTACTTTTCTATCTTCTCTCTGAATATTCCCCCTCTTTCCATGTATTTATGTTTCAAACTGTTTAATAAAAATTTATTTTAAAAAAATCCAAATCCAAATGAAAATAAAAAATGTACAGCCTCAGGAATAGCYAGAGGCATGGAAYAGAGAGGGAGAGGAGGAGAATAAATACTTTGGCATCACTTAGAATCATAGAATCATAGAGTCAAAGAGTTGGAAGAGACCTCATGAGCCATCCAGTCCAACCCACTGCCAAGAAGCAGGAAAACCGCACTCAAAGCACCCCTGACAGATGGCCATCCAGCCTCTGTTTAAAAGCTTCCAAAGAAGGAGCCTCCACCACACTCCAGGGCAGAGAGTTCCACTGCTGAACGGCTCTCACAGTCAGGAAGTTCTTCCTCATGTTCAGATAGAATCTCCTTTCTTGTCTGAATATCAGTGCCAGGAGGTTGGTTCAGAAGCAGAATAGCTCCATCACACTTAGTAGGTGATGGGGAAGTGGTGCAACCTGCAGCTATTGATAAATTTTCCTGTCAATAGCAAGCGATGTGTTTATTATTGGGAGGAGGCATATAAGCTACTAGCTTATATTGCTGTTGCTGTGGCCCAGTCTGTTGATCTGGAAAATAAAGTAATGAGAAAGTGTTGCTTTCTAATATATGTAATTTCTTTCTGCTTGTGGGTAAACAGTATTTCTTGCTGTTTCTTTGTCGGTGTTGATGTGGAGAGTGTCTGGTTTGCCTACTCTGGAACAGGCAACATACAATTGTCCTTCTTTAGGCTTCCCTTTCAAATCTATGATACTATATCTGTGTGTGTGTGAATCATATCTATCTATATCTATCTATCTATCTATCTATCTATCTATCTATCTATCTATCTATGGCTGGATGGCTCTTTGTCAGGAGGACTTTGATTACGTTTTCTTGCCCTGATGAAGGGAGTTGGATTGGATGGCCTTAAGTATTTTCTGTTGGTCATGGGTGTTTGTGTGGGAAGTTTGCCCCGATTTTGTCGTTCGTGGGGTTCAGAATGCTCTTTGATTGTAGGTGAACTGTGAATCCCAGTGACTACAACTCCCAAATGTCAAGGTCTATTTCCCCAAACTCCATCTGTGTTCATATTTGGGCGTATTGAGTGATTGTGCCAAGTTTGGTCCAGATCCATCATTGTTTGAGTCCACAGTGCTCTCTGGATGTAGGTGAACTACAACTCCCAAACTCAAGGTCAATGCCCACCAAACCCTTCCAATATTTTCTTATATCCCATATGCATGGGGTATTGGGGTAATGATACAAAAGGTTTGCTAGGCTAGACCCTCTTTCACTCAGACTCCCCCCCAAAACTCACCCCGCCCCCCCCGAACCCCCCCCCTGAAAAAATTCCCCCCCCCCCCCGAAACGAAATCCTGGCTACGGGCCTGCCTGGCACTAATGATAATATATAATGTAAAAAACGTATCACGTATAGATTTGCTTGAAATGCAACTAACACGGTGTAAATCAAGGAGAGTTTGGTCCAAATCCATCATTGTTTGAGTGCACAGTGATCTTTGGAGGTAGGTGAACTACAACTCCAAAACCAAAGGACACTGCCCACCAAACCCTTCCAGTATTTCTTGTTGGTCATGGGAGAACTGTGTGCCACATTTGGTTCAATTCCATCGTTGACTGAGTCCAGAATGCTCTTTAATTGTAGGTGAACTATAAATCTCAGCAACTACAACTCCCAAATGACAAAATCATAATTTTTTGAGTGATGGTCATTCCTTGTGTTGTGAGACGTTTTGTTGCCAAATTTGGTGTGATTTCATTCATTGGTTCTTTTGTTTTTAAGGTACTCATTATGCACAGAGCATTATAGATAGATAGATAGATAGATAGATAGATAGATAGATAGATAGATGATAGATAGATAGATAGATAGATAGATAGATAGATAGATAGATAGGATATGCATGGTGTCCTGCTTGAATGCCAGTTTGCCTCCTGGATTATATGGGACTTTAGGCCATAAGCCAACTTCAGAGGATTGTTAAGCTTAAACATTTTAAATAAGTCATGCAAAAATAGGAATAGCAGTGATTAAAAAAAAAACAAAAATGGGTGTTGAATACGTCAGAGGACTGAAGAGACAAAGCCATGGCTCAGACAAGAAGGCTCTGAATAGGAAAGGTTACCATATTCTTCCTACCATATTCTTTGACGTCAAATGGTGTTCTGAAGGTCTCCTGTGGGGAATCTTGATATTTAGTCACAATATTCCAGGTTCCCAAACTAGAGAAGGAAAATCAAAGAATTTGTCACTGCTTCTGTTTTATCAATCCATAACAACAAATGAAAATGCCCCCCATGTGTTCTTTCATGTGTACATACAGGCCCATAATGAACATCCACATATTTTATTTTCTTTGGCCCTCACCATTGCAGGGCGGGGGGTGGGGGGGGTGGGGAGGGGAGATGATGATGATAATTATTATTATTATTATTATTATTATTATTATTATTATTATTATTATTTATACCCCGCCACCATCTCCCCCAACGGGGACTTGGAGCGGCTTACATGGGGCCAAGCCCGAACAACAGATTACAATACAAAAAATACAAAATTACAATAAAATAAACAACATAACATTAAAGTATAAAACATCAAAGAATATAAACAATATACATAAAACATAAGAACCAAACATAAGGACAAAGAGCGGGCCGCATGTACATAAAATGATTTAAAAACTCCGGGTGAGATAAAGGGGTAAAACTAATTGTAAGGAGATAAGCTCAATTGTAAAACAGAATGCCTGACGTCAAAGTTTTAGGACTTGGATATAAAGAAGCTGGACTCTTCCTCCTTCCCCTAACCCTGTGATCAAATTTCCACTAGTCCATGGTAATCATGGGTAGTTTTGTGGAAATTCCTTCATTACACTGTTCACCTACCCTGCCTGGGAGATTTTTTAATGAAATAATGCCTCTTATGTAAACCCCCACCCCACCCCACCCCCCACCCCCAAATCCTTTAGAGGAAAAGATGGAATAAAATGCAATGGACAAATCCAACAATAAATTCAGAATAAACTCTCTCACACACAATTGTTGTTTAAGCTAAGTTTCTGTACATGCTTGGTTTAGGCTGATTTTCATAATCAATTACCTGACAGTCTCAGGTAGATGGTATGACTGCTTAATCTGTGTTTCAGAATTGAAACTATTCTGGTTGACAATAACTCCTTTTGGTGTCTAGGAGGATAAAATAGAAGAGTGTTCAAAAGAATCATAGAATCAAAGAGTTGGAAGAGACCTTGTGGGCCATCCAGTTCAACCCCTGCCAAGAAGCAGGAAAATCGCATTCAAAGCACCCCCGACAGATGGCCATCCAGCCTCTGTTTAAAAGCTTCCAAAGAAGGAGCCTCCACCACACTCTGGGGCAGAGAGTTCCACTGCTGAACAGCTCTCACAGTCATGAAGTTCTTCCTAACGTTCAGATGGAATCTTCTGGCCAGGGTGGTCCATGCCTTAGTCACCTCCAGATTGTGTAGAGGCTGATGTAAGTTGGTTTCCAAGAGTGGATTCTACTATTACACATAACGATCTGAGCTTTCTTCTATTCACTGGGATTGTGGCTGAGTGTCAGCAGCATTAAGATCACTCTGACCATAAAGGTCATGAGTTCAAAGCCGGCCCGGGTTGGAGTGGGTTTCTAACCAATTGTGTGTAGCCTGTTGTCGACCTTTGCAACCCAAAAGACAGTTGCATCTGTCAAGTAGGAAAATTAGGTACCACCTTAAAGTGTGGGGAGGCTAAATTAACTGATTTATGAGGCCATAAAGAAGACTCCAGCAAAGCATTCCAGCGGGGAAGCATGCGGGGAATGCGGAATTGCTTCATCAGCGTCGCAGATGGACGATGAAAGCGACCGCTCCCCTGGCGGCCAGAAAAAGTTAAATAGCCTCTGTGTATGTCTGTATATGTTTGTATGTAAAAAAAAATTGGCATTGAATGTTTGCCATATATGTGTACACTGTAATCCGCCCTGAGTCCCCTGCGGGGTGAGAAGGGAGGAATATAAAAACTGTAAATAAATAAATAAATAAATTCTCCAGGTATTCTTATGCAAACTTCTAAGGAAGAATAATTAATTACCCACATCCATATCACACATTTATGCATAAGATTCTCACCTCAAATTCAACTATCACATTTTTGTCCAAACGTTCCAAGCCATGACCCATAGAGAAGACACGATAGCGCACTGAGAAAGAGAAAAAGGTTTAAGGGGGTACTGTTTATTAGTTACCACATGTTGCCATCCTACAGAATAACACTATGTAACATGATAGTTGTTCCTGGGTTATAAGTGTTATTTTCTAATTGCTTCTGTCATAAAGACATGGAAAAGGTCTACCGTATATTCCGGCATATAAGACGACTGGGCGTATAAGACGACCCCCAACTTTTCCAGTTAAAATATAGAGTTAAGACGACTCCCATGCATAAGACTACACCTGCGTATAAGACGACCCCTGACTTTTGCGAAGATTTTCTTGGGTTAAAAAGTAGTCTTATACGCCAGAATATACTGTATTTGTTTTTGCGGGACATCCTGAAGCACATTGTGCTATAGTTTTTCAATTAATATCTCACTGAATCTCAACCAGTTCAACATAGCTACATAGTGTAATTGAACATTCCCTATTCCTTTGGAAACCTTACTTTTTTGGACTACAACTCCCAGAATTCGACACCATCATGCACCAATGGGAAAGTGTGACACATGCAGCTCTATGGCCTTCTTTTGAAGACACTGAATCCCTCAAACTACAAGGTCCCTCACAACCAAGAATTTGGGAGAGATATCTTGAGTTTCAATAAGTCCCAGGCTCAGCCCAAATATTAAACTAGACATTGATACTGATTTCCACTTACTCTGGTTTTAATTTTTATTGATTTTTACTTGTCTAGGGCTTGTAGAGGATCCTAAAGCAGGAAAATGTGCCTTTAAACAGTAACATCAATGGAGAGTAACTCTGCAACCTTCTCTCAGTAAAGACAGAGCAAATAAACATATTGTGGGAAAGGGGTGGAGAGGAGGGAGTAACAGTGAATAGAGTACGTTCCTCACTGAATATATTTGGTTTGAAACTGGGGAATGACTTCTTCCAACTATTCCTTCAGTCAAACTTGGGAATGCTGATACATAATATTTAAATGCCTTAGTGTTTTGGTAGTCATGATGAAAAAATAAGGCAGAATTAAATCTTTAATTGTTGGATAGAACAATGGTTCTCAAAATGTACTTTTCTTGATGTTTGGGGCATTCGTTCCTTAAATTCCTGACCATTGGCCATGCTATCTGAGATTATGGGAACTGAAGTAGAAAACATCTGGGGGTGGGGGTCAAAGGTTGAGAACCACTGGTGTAGAAAAATATTTCTCAAATTTAGATCCTCCGAATATTTTGAATTTCAGTTGCCAAATTTTCCAGGAATTCCGAGAGTTAAAGTCCCAAACATCTGGAAGACCACAATGTGAGAATCACTAATTTTCAGCATGTATAGTTTGCATATAAGTTCTACTTTCTGGTTTGTTTGTTTTTATTCCACACAATGCTTAAAGTGAATGGGATCCCTCTCTCTCTTTTCCATGTGGGCATTCAATGCAGCACAGATTTTCCTTTAGACAAGATGCAATCTTCTTTGAAATAAACATTATTTCAATGGGGGAAAGGACCTCAGTCTCTAGCTCCAGTTCCAAAGAAGTAATCTCATGAGAGCAAAGATCTAGCATTAAAATCAATGACAAGTCCTAGTGAAGTCATCCTGTCCATACTCCACTGACATCACATCTAAGTCTTCAAGTGGAATCATCAGAAGGCTTTACCTTCTGACCCAGGTGTGTAGATAGTTTTGTCTGTCTGGGTAAAAATATAGCCACTTTGGAAGGAGACCAGAACCACCTTCTCAAGTGTGAAATGAAGACAAGAAGCCTGGACAATAACATACTGGTTTTTCTTGGAATCCTTCTTTAGGTCTTTTGCAGGAACCTGTTTGGAAAAAAATCAGGAATTAGAAAATGAATTCCTCCTAGTCTTTTTTTAGCAGATTGAACATTGCCATATCTATATAAATAAAAATGTAATGTTCGTTTGTGGGATTGACAGAACTCAAAAACCACTGGATGAATTGACACCAAATTTGGACACAAGACACCTAACAACCCAATGTATGTCCTTCACTCAAAAAGAATTGATTTTGTCATTTGGGAGTTGTAGTTGCTGGGATTTATGGTAAAATCAAAGAGCATTCTGAACCCCACCACTGATGGAATTGAACCAAACTTGGCTCACAGTTCTCCCATGACCAACAGAAAATTCTGGAAGGTTTGTCCTTTGGTTTTGGAGTTGTAGTTCACCTACATCCAGAGATCACTGTGGACTCAAACAATGATGGGTCTGGACCAAACTCTACACGAAGACACAATATGCCCAAATGTGAACACTGGTGGAGTATGGAGGAAATAGGATCTTGACATTTGGGAGTTGTAGTTGCTGGGTTTTATAGTTCACCTACAATCAAAAAGCATTCTGAACCCCACCAACAATAGAATTGGGCCAAACATTGACATTTGGGAGTTGTAGTTGCTGGGTTTTATAGTTCACCTACAATCAAAAAGCATTCTGAACCCCACCAACAATAGAATTGGGCCACACAGAACCCCCATGTGGGCCACAGCAACGCGTGGCAGGGGACAGCTAATATATTATATACTAGCAATTTTATAGTGATAACTACAGTCCACAAGAAACAGTCCTATTCTAGGCAATGCAAGATGTCCTCTTTTATATTAAAAAAACACTCATGTAGGGCTAAGTTTAGCCATTCATATCCTGCTTTGGATCTTTCTGTATCAATCTAAATTCCATTCCAATCCATCTGCCAGGTATTGAATTTGTAGAAGGAAAATGTCATAATTGTGCTTTTCATTCCTTGTACACATTTGTTATAACACATCTACATCTACCTACCTACCTACCTACCTACCTACCTACCTACCTATCTATCTATCTATCTATCTATCTATCTATCTATCCACATAATAAAAGTGAAAAATGTGTATGTGTGTATGTGACAGAGATATCCACTTATACAGACAGCCTCCTGCCTCCACAAACAGGCTATAATTCCAAGTGCTGAGAAGCCTCCAAAGGCACTCCCTCAACTGACATTGCAGGTTCTAGCGAGCGCCATGAACATGTAGCCCAAATGCTGCCAATGCCCTCCCCAAACACTACGGTCCACCACCCAAGGAATGCTTTCATTTGGGGACCATTACATCCTAGATTTGATATGTTTCCTCCACCACAATCAGGCATCCCAGGGTTCCTTGTGTGGAATTTGCATGACCCCACCCATTGCCTTTTCGGTGGTGGCCCCTCGACTCTGGAACTCACTCCCTAAAGACATCAGACAGGCCCCAACCTTGGCAGTCTTTAGGAGGAGCTTGAAGACGTGGTTGTTCCAGTGTGCCTCCCCAGAATAATGATCCTATAGCACTTTGTCCTCCAAAGCACTTTACATTTTTTAGATCTGCTCGTATGCCCTTCCACAAACGCCACTATCAGCTTTGGTCCATGTCTCAGCATTATTTCCATTTTAACTTTACATTTGGCCTTCCCACTGTTTTTAAGTGCGTGTTGTCTTATTGATAATGTTGTATATTTTATTGTTTATGTTTTATTTTAATTGCTTGTACTGTTGTTGTTTTGTTCGTATTGTTGTATTCGAGCTCGGCCTCATGTAAGCCGCACCGAGTCTCTTGGGAAGATGATAGCAGGGTACAAATAAAGTATTATTATTATTATTATTATTATTGCCTCTCCCTTAACCCTTTCCTACCCTTTCCTATGGCACACAGCAAACACAGAGGAATTGATCACTAACTGAAGGGTTTGGGGGACTGAGGTCAACTGTAAATACTGGTAGGATTTGGGGGTGACTGCCCTTGGCATATGGAAGTTGTAATTCACCCTTATCCAGCAAGCACTGAACTACAATTTCCAGACAACAGATCTGGACCACACTTGGCACACAGACGCAACATGGCCAACTGTGCATACAGGCCTGGTTGGGAAGGATTGACCCATGATTCTGAGAATTGTAGTTCACCCACATCGTTATGTGTTTTCTAATATGATCATTCATAAAAAATGAAATCACATTCTGGCTTTTTCCTAATTAATAGTGTTACTAATTAACTATATGATATTACCTAATACCCCAAAACAAACACTGCCGCGTACCCAAGCTAGTATATAGATGTGTGTGTGTGTGTGTAAGCCACATTTAACTATTTCATAGTTTCATCATATTTAGTTAGCTATTCAATAAAGAGCCTTAAACCTGAAGATAACCAGATATGCTGTCAAGGCAGTTGTAACAGTACTGGGATTGCTAAAAAGCAGTTCTTCTGCCTCTTCTTTTCCTAGGAGGGACTTCTTTTGTCCTGTCTTGGTAAGAGTCAGGGGTGGCTCAACCCATTACGCAAAGTAAGCATTTGCAGTATAGTTGATTTTGCCCAGGGGCACTCTTGAGGCACTCTTGGGGGAAAATAGATCTTGATATATGTCAGTTGTTACTGGGATGTATAGTTCACCTACGATCAAAGAGCATTCTGAACTCCACCAATGATGGAATTGAACAAAAAATGGCACACAGAACTCCCACTACGAACAGAAAATATATATCAGTGATTGGTTGGGGGGGGGGGGGTCGCCAAAATACTATTTGCTTACCGTTGAAAATTATCTAGGGCCACCTCTGGTAAGAGGAAATGCTACCACTTTGCACTAGAATTTGAAGCTCCATCTGGAGCTAAATGAATAATTTAACACTTCTAGGGAAAAATATTTTATAGAGTGTGGGTAAGTGAAACCATAGGCATCCAATCTGTAGATAGAGAATCATACTGTAATTATAGTTTCCTTTCCTCTAACTGAGCTTGGCAGCACCATAGATTTCCTCTTTCCTTCCCCACCCACTTATACCCCAGATTTTCCTAAAAATTGTGCTATGCATGACCTACTGCACAGAGTAATGAAAGGATAACCTTCCATGTTGAGACTACGCTGGCTGGTAAATCTCCCGACAGTTCACAGAAGCCATTGCTCATGACATTCGCCAGCAAATATATTTTTTTTAGTTTCAGATTTTTGAAAATTAAGATGTGCATTAGATTCGATGGTGAATTAGACTTGAGTAAATATGGTAGTGGAATGTTGTGAAGACAAGCCAGGAGCCAATGCTTATGTAAGCCGCCCTGAGTCCCCTTGTGGGAGAAGGGCGGGGTAGAAATGAAGGAAATAAATAAATTCAGTGTGAGTCTCTTTTTTCATGCCCACATAGACTCTTCCCCAGATAGGTGTACCATAGATTAAAGTGTTACCTGATTTGTTGCATGCACAGAGTGGCAACCTCTATAATGCGTGTGTCAAACCTCTATAATATGCGAGAGCAGTACGTGTGAAAAAGATCTTGGAGTCCTCGTGGACAAGAAGTTAAACATGAGCCAACAATGTGATGTGGCGGCAAAAAAAGCCAATGGGATTTTGGCCTGCATCAATAGGAGCATAGTGTCTAGATCTAGGGAAGTCATGCTACCCCTCTATTCCGCTTTGGTTAGACCACACCTGGAATATTGTGTACAATTCTGGGCACCACAATTCAAGAGAGATATTGACAAGCTGGAATGTGTCCAGAGGAGGGTGACTAAAATGATCAAGGGTCTGGAGAACAAGCCCTATGAGGAGTGGCTTAGGGAGCTGGGCATGTTTAGCCTGAAGAAGAGAAGGCTGAGAGGAGATATGATAGCCATGTATAAATATGTGAGAGGAAGCCACAGGGAGGAGGGAGCAAGCTTGTTTTCTGCTTCCCTGGAGACTAGGACGCGAAACAATGGCTTCAAACTACAAGAAAGGAGATTCCATCTGAACATGAGGAAGAACTTCCTGACTGTGAGAGCCGTTCAGCAGTGGAACTCTCTGCCCCGGAGTGTGGTGGAGGCTCCTTCTTTGGAAGCTTTTAAACAGAGGCTGGATGGCCATCTGTCAGGGGTGATTTGAATGCAATATTCCTGCTTCTTGGCAGGGGGTTGGACTGGATGGCCCATGAGGTCTCTTCCAACTCTTTGACTCTATGATTCTATGAAATGCAAGGTCCGTGGGCCAAATCCAGCCCACCATATCATTTTATGTGGCCCTCCAGGTGCTATACTATACTCCTGTATTCCTCATCATTGGACATCACGACTAGAGCTGATGTGGGCTTTGATACAGTAACATCTGGATAGCCGCAGTTTGTTCTGCTTAGTCAGGATACTAGGATTTGGATTTATATATAAGGATATGATGTCTAATTTCAGAATGTCCTGTACCCCACCCCCCAGATTCAAACCACCAACCTTTGGGTCAGCAGTCCTGCCGGCACAAGGGTTTAACTTATTGCACCACCAGATGCATGGAAGATAATCAAATGGGATGGGAGTCGTTCTTCAATAACATCTGGGTAAAAACTAAAGAGCACTGACCACTATGGAAACAAATTATAGCCTCCTGTGTCCACAGATTCTCCATCCATGGATTCAATGGCCCTTTGAAGGCAACCATAAGACTGATGTGGCCCTCAATGAAAATTAGTTTGACACTCCTGCTCTATAACCATAATTGCATACTCACCTCTATGAGAGGAGTCACCATCATGCCATTGTCTGAGTTCATGGTAGCTTTGGTTTCGCACAAGATGTTCCTCTTCTGTGGGAAATCACGGATAGTAATGGTCACGTTTGTAACAGCATTGAGCCCATGAGCTTCCACCACAATCTGCTCTTTACTCTCCACCCACAGGACACTGGGGACAATCATGGAGTAGCTACAAAGGAGGAAAACATGCACTGAAGTTGTTTGCAGTAGCTCGATTTATTTATTCATGTCAAAAATAACATAAATAAGCATAAAATTGATAAAACCGAGGGAGCACAAGCAGCTAAATAATTTTAGACTAAAAACGGGCAACAGCTACCACATTGTCCATAGCTTTAAACAATTATTCCACTGTGCATGAGGCAGGGCATTGTATGCAAGCATAAAGATGCAAAGTTGTTTGTTCTGCTCCACAATGACAAAGCTCATCTCCATACTGCATCTTTAAACTCTCTTGCTTTAGAAAAATCAAGGAACAAATAATTTAAATGTAGTCTTAAAGCAACATTAAAAATCAGAGTGAACTGTTTGTCATATCCATCTGCCCTTGCTGAAGCTCCAAGGTATTCTGCAGCTTTCCACTGTCAAACCAACACCGATCGCTCGTCTCTCTCTCTCCATTCTAGGGCATGGGTGGGAACTGTGAGGCTTTTCTACTCTTGAACTGCAACTCCCAAGAGCCGCAATGGTATAACCCAGGGGTCCTCAAACTAAGGCCCGGGGGCCGGATGCGGCCCTTCAAGGTAATTTGCCCAGCCCTCGCTCAGGATCAACCTAAGTCTGAAATGACTTGAAAGCACACAACAATAATCCTATCTCCTCAGCCAAAAGCAGGCGCACGCTTCCCATTGAAATACTATTTATTTATTTATTTATTTATTTATTTATTTATTTATTTGTGACATTTATATGCCACCCTTCTCACCCCGAAGGGGACTCAGAGCGACTTACAAGATATATATATACACACACACACATACATATACAATATATTATATTATTAGCATAGTACAATATCAGTATTATATATTACTATATTGTACTATACCATTATATTGTAATATTATTAGTAAAATATATAATTATAGTATCATATTATTAGTAGTACTAGCCGCCCCCTGCCACACGTTGCTGTGGCCCACATGGGGGTTCTGTGTGGGAGGTTTGGCCCAATTCT